TGGACTGGGATTGCTGCTATGTTACTTCCCTTTGGCCGCACAGTTCATAGCCGATTTAAATTACCACTGAATTTGAATGAACATTCTGTCTCCGGCTTAAAAGTCAACAGTAAAGAGGCTTCTATCATTCGTTCTGCAAAATTAATAATTTGGGATGAAGCACCTATGGCCAACAAATATGCTCTAATGTGTGTCAACCGGCTACTGAAAGATATAATGGATAACGATGTGCCATTTGGTGGGAAAATCATTATCTTAGGTGGAGATTTCCGGCAAGTGTTGCCGGTTGTGCCTCATTCATCTAGAGCCTCTACTGTTCAGAATTCAATTAAGTTTTCATACCTATGGCCACTATTCAAAATTTTTAAATTAACAAAAAATATGAGGGCTAAAACTAATGAGTTAGATTTTGCTAACTTTTTGCTCGAAATTGGCAATGGGGAATACCCAACAATTGATGACAAATCTGTGGACTTACCCCCACCACTTATCTCTGATTCAGACATAGTTTCAGAAATTTATGGAAAAAACCTACAAACGCCTATGGACTCATCGTACTTATCAAAATGTGCCATTTTAGCACCAAAGAATGAGCATTGTGAGGAAATCAATAAAAGAGTTTTAGACCTCATCCCAGGCTCAAGCAAAACATATATAAGTGTGAATAAACTAATTACAGATGATGACAGTGAACTATTGCAATTCCCTATTGAATTCCTCAACAGCCTTGAGATGACTGGTTTGCCTTCTCACAAATTAGTCTTAAAGGAAGGTGCCATTGTGATGTTATTAAGAAATTTAAACTACACAGCAGGTCTTCTAAACGGAACAAGACTTATTGTCAAGAAAATGTATGAAAACAGTTTAGACTTAGAAATCATAACAGGCACAAATATTGGACAACGTGCACTATTACCCCGCATTGATCTCTCTCCATCAGATTCTACAGTACCATTTTCTTTCAAACGAAGACAATTCCCCATAAAGGTTGCGTTCTGCATGACCATCAACAAGGCGCAGGGCCAAACGATTGATCGAGTTGGTGTGTACTTGCCTGAACCAGTATTTAGTCACGGTCAGTTGTACGTCGCCTTATCGAGAGGAAAATCTTTCGATACTGTAAAAGTAGAAACTAAATCAAAAGGTGGACGAACAGCAAACATTGTTTGGAAGGAAGTATTATAAAAGTCGTAATATTAATAAAGATTACCAGATGGAGGGAACTACTCCTGAGAATATGCGTACATGCAATTCTACCGACAGAGATGTCTATTTTACAAGAAATATTGTTGTTAATAAAACATTCTTAATAAAGCCTCATTCACGCTGTGTTACATATGAGTTAACAAATGTACGTGCTTTCTCTGTAGGTGCTTTTAGGAAGTGTGTGGATATTGCTCTGGATTAATTGATTTTCAAAACGGAAAAAAATACATCGGGACGATTTTCTCTGTGTTATATGGAATGTGTTATACTTTAATTTGGTCATAAGGCGAAATTAATCCAGCAGCCCTATAAGAGTTTAATTAAAGTTGTACCGCCCTTATTAAGTTTAGTATTTCATTTTTTTATTATTAATTTCAATGCTGCGGAGCAGCACGGGTCATCTAGTATTCTATTATTTTGTCATGATTGCAAAAACTGTAGTGACGAATAAATCAATGTGAATTTATATTTATAACCTTTTTACCGACCTCTTCTGATGGACTGAGAGCTGGAGGTCGTCTTTGGAAAACGCCGAAATATGTCTGGGGTTGTAAATTCTTGGCTAGCAGCTACGAAGGTCAACGAACGTCAAAGAGATGCCACTGTCTCGGGTTTTCCTTAAGGATTGGTTGGTAACAGGTGTTCGCACGGTGACACTATAGGGAGAGAAAGTAGGGACGGGAGCGGCACCATGTCGGTCAGCGCTAGATCAAAGCTGTGAGACGGCCCCGTCAGCCCATGTATTTCATACTTTTTTTGTAGTCTCGGGGAGAAATTCCAAGCCGGGCGTGGCACCGTTTTCAATTTCAACACTTCCTTATGAAGCCCCTGACCTTGGTTGAATTAAATCGTTTTTCCCTACGCTAAGTTTGTTAGTTTATGGTAATATGTTATAAACAACAGACGAATAAGACGTTATACCATAATAATATTACGATGGACTACCATTAGACATTTAAGGCTTCCTTGAGTAAAGTAAACTCACTTACTTACCTCAATGAACCACACGATCACAGGCGAGAGGATAGATGTATGTGTATTCATCTATCCCATCTATCCTATCGCCTGTGATCGTGTGGTTAGAGCATGATTATTGAATAGTTAGGTCAACCATATACATTTTTCCATATAACTTGGTAATTAAGGGGACTACCTCCATCATATTTATACTTACTATTCTACACATTGTATATTACCATTAGAATACCTCAAATTTGATGTGACGGGCTTAGGAAAAAGATTGTGCACTTTTCCTGACGCGAATTCCTATCAACCATATAGATTTTGCCTTATAGCTTCGTAATTCACTGGACTGCCGCAATCATACTTATACTGATTATTCTACACATTGTATATTACCATTAGAATACCTCAAAATTGATGTGATGGGCTTAGGAAAAAGATTGTGCACTTTTCCTGAAGCAAATTCCTATCAACCATATAGATTTTGCCTTATAGCTTCGTAATTCACTGGACTGCCTCAATCATATTTATACTGATTATTCTACACATTGTATATTACCATTAGAATACCTCAAAGTTGATGTGATGGGTTCGGGAAAAAGATTGTGCACTTTTCCTGATGCGAGTTCCTATCAACCATATACATTTTGCCATATAACTTCGTAATTTACTGGACTGCCGCAATCATACTCATACTGATTATTCTACACATTGTATATTACCATTAGAATACCTCAAAGTTGATGTGATGGGCTTAGGAAAAAGATTGTGCACTTTTCCTGATGCGAGTTCCTATCAACTATATACATTTTGTCATATAACTTCGTAATTTACTGGACTGCCGCAATCATACTCATACTGATTATTCTACACATTGTATATTGCCATTATAATACCTCAAAGTTGATGTGATGGGCTCAGGAAAAAGATTGTGCACTTTTCCTGATGCGAGTTCCTATCAACCATATATATATTTTGCCATATAGGCTAACTTCGTAATTTACTGGACTGCCACAATCATACTCATACTGATTATTCTACACATTGTATATTACCGTTATAATTCCTCAAAGTTGATGTAAGTGGCACAGGAAAAAGATTGTGCACTTTTCCTGATGCGAGTTCCTATCAACCATATACATTTTGCCATATAACTTCGTAATTTACTGGACTGCCTCAATCATATTTATACTGAGTATTCTACACATTGTACATTACCATTAGAATACCTCAAAGTTGATGTGATGGGCTTAGGAAAAAGATTGTGCACTTTTTCCTGATACGAGTTACTATCAACCATATACATTTTGCCTTATAGCTTCGTAATTCACTGGACTGCCTCAATCATATTTATACTGATTATTATACACATTGTATATTACCATTAGAATAGCTCAAAGTTGATGTGATGGGCTTGGGAAAAAAGATTATGCGCTTTTTATGTTAGGAGTTTTAATCGATCGCGTTATGTTAAGCCATAGCTACGTATAATGTACACTACGGTCTCAAATATGCCTTTTAAAATACGTCAATTAATTAGTTTTAACTTGTATACACGTTTTATCAATGTATAATTGACATTATATAAATAAAAAAACATCATTTCGCACCGTATTGTCATTGAATTTTCTTTCCGACATCCCTGCAAAACACGTTTGTGGCGTCCGCAGGCGTACCAACCCACATCTATTACAAACCGAAAAAGCGCCGATGAAAAGAGCCGCTAACTTCACGACGGTTACTCGTTTCTACTATTGAGTACTGGTACTGCTAAACCTTCAATCCAGTACCAGGACTCGTCTCGGGTATCAGTTCAGTAGTAGCCTACTCGTTTAAACTTAACTGAGTATTATAACTGAAAATACATAATCATTTGTTAGTAATAACAAATTCCACAAATATGAAAACTGCTTTCATTGATCACTATAAATCAATAAACTGCTTAAGAACACATAGTAATCATTATGTAAAGGAACTGAGTACTGTCAGTGGTATCACTAATGGTATTTGGTATTATACTGATACAGGAACACTCTACGGGTACCAAATCCCATCGGCCGTGATGAGTACTCATGAGTACAAAGTAATCATCAAAAGTAACTGATACTCGAGAGTACCAGTACCGGTAGTAATCAGTATTTCGATGTACTCATTTAGCCCATCTCTAGTATAAAAATCGTGTATAACATTTAAATAAATAAATGTTTAGGTTATAAAATACCATATTACCGCCGTTGTCAGTCGTCAGTACGGTGTCGGTGACGGCCAATTACAATTACAATAATTATCGTATCCTACCATAAAATATCGTATATATGGTAGACCTGACTGAAGCGAGCAGCTGATGCCATTCCCACAATGCAACATTCTCCTCAATTATAAGCTATGCCCCAAAATCAGAATTATAAGGTATGACTCAAAATCAGGATTATAAGCTATAGAACAGATTCGGAATTATAAGCTGTGCCACTATTTGACCATTATAAGTTGTGACACTGAAAATGTTTCATACCTTATAACGTTTTAGAGAAATTGTGGCATAGCTTATAATTTTTCGTGAAAGTGTGGCATAGCTTATAACTGATTATAAGCTATGCCACATTTTCAACATTATAAGCTATGGAACAAATTCACGATTATAAGCTATGACATTATAAGCTATGACACCCCACGTGTTTGGTAGGGTCTATTGGAAAAAAGAAAAGAGATGGTAAGAAGAAGAAATACGCCCTATTTTGAGGTTAGGGTTACGCTGCGTTACTTTTACTTATTTTGTTTACCTCATGTGAAAAAATTTAGCCCTAGTCACTACTCACTAGTGAGTGAGTCAAGTCTAGCTCATTTAGGCCATGCCATGTGTGTTTGAATTTAATTGAACAATGACTACACGACCAGACAATTTTGTGGTTTAGGTAATCTGCAGGCACAATTCAGCTGCGTTGGTAAAATATTAGTTATTTGGCCAAGTTATATCTCACGTAATCGTTAAATACACAAAACATGGCTGATTTTGATGACGAACTTTTCAATGTTTTCGATGAAGAAATTCAGTCTTCTGTCAAGGATGAAACTCTTGACTCTTCTAAGAGCCCTGAACACTACCCTCAAAGGTAAGGCGAACCGAAAATAGAATTTTTTTAGTCATAATAGAACACACTTTAGAAGCTTTATGAACTTGTTTAGGCCATAGGCAGGCCTGCTGTTGCATGTAAATGATGTGTGTGGCAGATCAACCTAACCTTACATGGGTACCGCACGTAAATTTGACGTAGGGCGAGTAGTTTTTAGCGTCCCATCCTGCACCCCCTCAACCGACGCTACCTACCCTCCTTTCAGCAGTCATTCGCTTAGTGATGGCTGCCTTGGTTGGGTCTTAGTGAATTTCTTTATGTTCCTTACTAAGTTAGTCGGTTTCTTGGAACGCATACGTCAAACTTACGTGTTAATACCCTTTGTGTATAGTAAAATGGCTGACTTTTGTAGCCTATAGTAAAATACCCTGCAGTACGGTTTGGTTGTAACTGCATAGGTACAACAAGTTACCATTTAAGTTAATGTTTAAACTAAAAGATTGACAAGCATTTTGCCTAGGTCTGACAGGTCTATGTAGCTGATTAGTGTAGGTAACTTACTACTAATTTCTATTAAAAGACTAAGGATAACTTGGTACTCGCAATTAGTGTAGTAAGTCTGGTTATTTTATTATTTTGCAGTTCTGGAGCTGACGAATCCTCTGATGCTGGAGTCAAAAGAGAACATTCTGACGACGAATCTACCATTGAGTCAAAGAAGAAGAAAGTTGAAACAATCCTTGATGACATCAAGTAAGTGTGTACTAACGTTAAATATTAGCCTAGTTCAAAATTAGTTGCATGTGTCAAAGTTAACAAAATTGCTAAATGTACACACCACAATCGATAAAATAACAACCTGTCTGCTTAGTTGCCTACCTCAAGATCGAAGTGAATTCCCTTATTGTTAATTTAAAATCTGGAATTTACTAAAAATCTGCAACTTATGTCTCCATTCAGGATAATTATTTATTGTTGTATTTACTTCCAGACAAGTGAGAATTTTTAGTTCGGACTTAAGTCTGGTCACAAGGCATCTGAAAGAGGAAAAAAAGTCAATTGAACGATGAGACCCTTTTGGATAAAAGTTAATTTTCTTATTGTGCTACCTACAGAAAAAAGTAAGATGTAGCTTTCACTAGCCTAATCAGTTACCGAGTTTTCTTCATTGAACCATTGATGAAACATTTTACTTTTGCAGCATTCAGCAAGTGTCCCATAGGATATCTGTTCACACCGTAGAAACACTGGAAGCCTGTCTACATGAGGTAAACATAATAGTGTAATAACATTTGTAATATGAAGCACAACAAATTGTTACATTGCCAAATGAAATGTTTAACTTATAAGGTATAGGCTAACTTATAACCATAGACTTTTGGATAGGCCTACTGAAGTTCCATCTATATGGGCCAGCTGCACCAAAAACGTTATCAAAAAGAATGTAGTTATGTGAGCCAGTCACCGGATGCGCTTGTGTCTAACATTCTATTTATAACTGTTTTTTGTTGCTGACATAGTTTTTGGGTTATAATAGTTGCTACAGGCCTAGCTGACAAGAAGTCGTTCAATCAGTTTGACTTGGTAAAACGTTTGTGTATTTGAAAGAAATCAGTAATTTACATCAGCAAAATCTGTTGGTGGCTCACTTCAACAATGACGATTTTGGTAAAAGAAAACTAGCAGCTTTAACATGGGGATGGAATGTCTAGTTGTATCAATATCAATATAGTCAAAGATAACAAGATAATGTAAAATCACTCAGTTTAAAATGGTATTAAGTTAAACTTCCATTGACATTCTCTCATCTTTAACTGGATTATATGCTCCATACTCCGTTCACAAAATTTAGACTTTTGGAGAAAAAAATCTATAGGCCTACCCCTGCACCTTTAAAACAATAGCTCAACAGCTGAGGTTTGCCAGAACGTCAATCAACCGCAACATATACATTAAGCAAAAATGGTGGGGGAACTTCACCTCAAACAGCCTAAATTTTGTAAACACTTAATACTTTCCTTTGTCTAGGTGGCTGTACCTCCAGGTCAGGAGTACGTGCCTCTGCGGGTTCTCACTGGTAAACCAGCCAAAGAATACCCTTTCATACTCGATCCGTTCCAAAAAGAAGCAATCGCTTGTGTAGACAACGGACGGTCTGTCCTGGTCTCGGCTCACACTTCGGCTGGGAAAACTGTGGTTGCAGAGTAAGTATCAGCATGTGAACTATTTTTTAGTGAGTTTACTGTGCCCTCCCTGAAGGGGACGTCTCTTGGTTCATGATCTAACTTTGTAATAAATTTAAGTGTTGTGTTTTTGCCATCAGTATGAACTAACAGTTTGACAGATGGAAATATTAAATATTTTTGTAATTTTACTTAGCCTACAAAATTAAATATTTTTTGTTATGTAAGAAGATAGGCTGTTTCTTCCTACATAAAAAAGGTTATTTTTTAATAGACCTCTGTATTATTTAACAAACTTTTCATTTCTGATATTTGCTATACTGATTTGTTGTTTTAAACATAAAAATTCATTTCTCATTTAATAATCACCAATTGTTGATATGAATGGCTTCTAGGCTTGTTTAGTGATGTATCTTTTTTATTAGCCTAATGTAAATATCAGTATACATTTTTGATTTAGTTGCTATGTGCACATCCCACCATGTAACGGCAAAACACCATACATTTTTAAATAAACAGCGGCTACAAAACATCACATGATCCACTCCACATAGGCCTACATCATTACGTCCTTCCCTTTACCACAGTAAACCTACAGAATTCCAAGTCCAACAACTTGTGTGTGGCTGGTACACATAAGTGAACTGTTATTCTGTTCACCCGGGTAGACTTTCTTAAGTGGGGCCAAAAACAACCAAATGAAAATATCGTATCGATTATTTCATTCGGTTTGTTAGGTTAACCTAGCCTAACCGAACTTGATATATTGATTGAAATAATCAAATTTTTCAATCAATATATTCATTCAGTTGTTTTTGGCCCAACTTATGAAAGTCTATCCTCCACGCTAATAATATAAGTGTCCTAAACTAAACTACAAACACAACAAAGTATTTAAATCTTTGTAATAGCGCGTTGTGTTGTTGAAGGACCCTATTGACTGTAGTGTGATCCTGTAGGTACGCAATTGCCAGATCTCTAGGAGATAAACAGAGAGTGATCTACACCACACCGATCAAAGCTCTCAGTAACCAGAAGTACCGAGAGTTCTACGAGGAATTCCAGGACGTGGGACTCGTCACAGGAGATGTCACTATCAATCCTGACGCCAGCTGTCTCATCATGACCACTGAGGTTGGCACCAATGATAATACAGTGTAGCCAATGTAACATAACTAGTTTACCAAACAGTAGCTCAGCACAGTAGCATTAAGGACTGGAGTCATACGTCACTGGTTCGAGAACGGTTGCTTGCTCTGAATAATATTTGCAAGCTGGGCTTCTGAATGGTTATAGTGTTCGTAGAAGGTTCAATTGTGAGAAAAAAGTCAAACTTTTACGGTTCAAAACTGTAACCTGGCGGTTTTTATTGGGTTTTTAAATGATCCTGAAAAGAAAGGATACATCGATAATCTTTTTTTAGGCTACATTTTTCATCTACCCTGAATTAATATTCTGCCTTATAAGCTTACAACTGTGTAGTGCCGTATCAAAGAATTAATATCTTGTTATTAAAATCACCCTAGTCTATAGTAACAACAGGCAATTGAGGTTTTTTATAAAGACATCTACCTAGAGCTGTTTGTTTGAAGTTTATTGTTGGTGATGGTCTAGAGTTATAAAAAAGGCATTTGAGAAAACTACAACTTTGTGTTGAGAGACGATTAGTTGGTTTTTGGTTGTTCAAGAATTGTGTGAGTATTTTTTCAAATGACTTACTTTTAGATGAGGTATAATTAATCAATTAGTAAATTTTTTGAACTCACAGTCATGGATATGAATGAACAAAAAGTTAATCCCTCAAAACATTTACGCAATTGATTGGATAGATAGGCAAAACCACAAATGAGTGTAAACCTATCTATTAACTGACAGTTTTAGGCCACTAGGTGTAGGTGTACCAATTGTGCAGTATTTTTCAACCTATATTTTTTGTAACACTTTTTTAACATGTTTTTTTTTCTAGATTCTTCGTAACATGCTTTACAGAGGATCAGAAGTGATGAGAGAAGTAGGATGGGTCATATTCGACGAGATTCATTATATGAGAGATAAGGTAAGCATAGAAAAAAATGTAGTCTACCCCTGATTCTATTGTACACATTTTTAACATAACTTAGTTTTATCTTTGATTATTGGATACTGAAGTAGACAACCCATATATATAGACCAGCTGTCACCAATTTTTTTATCAAAAAATAAGTTAGTTGTGTTAGCCAGTCACAGAATGTGCTAGTGCCTAAAATTCTATTTTCTGCCAATCTTTTATAGGTGACTAAGTTGTTGGGAGTTGCAAACTTTCCTTGGCTGCAAATGCTGTCAGTGAGTGAAAGTGAAATGTTCTTTGTAACTTAAATATTTGAGTTTCTTGCGTCAGAGTTGACTCTTTCACATCTAAGGTCTTCTAAAAAAAACCTTAGGTTTTCTTTCCAGGGAGGAACATTTTTCCCGAATACGAAGGAAAACCTTTAAAGCGGTGTATTGCCTTAATTATTCTGTCATGATAGAAGTACAGTACACTTTCGAATGTCCACTAACAAGTGGCTGAGCCTAACCTAAAACGCTTGGAAAATAACTACTAATGTCTTTGAATGCATAGTTAAGCTGTAATACAGGCTAAGGTAGTAATAAAACGTTTAAAATACAGTGTAGATAAGTTAAATTTAGGGCCTAACATTTTTTCACACAGGTCTAATAAAAAATAATAATAAATACGGTAAATAACAAAAAAATAAAAATAAAAAATAAAACACCCACACAAGAACTTATCAACTCATTGGTTCTGTGAGTGTTGACTCTACAGTGAAATAAACAATAGCAACTCTACAATCTGACCCCAAGATGATGGGCCTCCTCAGGCTAAACATTTTAGTCTTCTCTGGATGAGGAGCTCATAGATAGGATGCTGGTGTTCATAAAGCAACTTAGGTTTCCCGGGCTCTGTCGCACAAAGCGGGGAGCACAAAAAACCCATCTGTGGCTGGACTAGATCCGCCCCGACAGAATCAATCAAGTCTTCTCTGTAACGTACATTTAACTCTCATAGTATGTTTTTAATTTGTTTTTTTTTTTTTTGCAATCGTGGTTAATCCACAAAATGGTTAATCCACAAAATGGTTAATCCACTCGTAGATAATTGGGATTCTACTGTAGTTTTATCAAATGTCAACTGGTTACAGGAAAGAGGTGTGGTGTGGGAGGAGACGCTTATCTTACTCCCGGACAACGTCCACTACGTTTTTCTCTCCGCTACAATCCCCAACGCACGACAGTTCTGTGAGTGGGTGTGTTACCTTCACCATCAGCCTTGCCACGTCGTCTACACGGACTACAGACCCGTGCCTTTGCAGCACTTCGTCTTCCCTGCGGGGGGAGAGGGGATCCACCTTATAGTGGACGAGAAGGTAAGAGGAGTCAGTGTATGTATATTTTTCTGTAACATCACCGTGTTTTATGAGAAACTGCTATGACGGTACACATTCTTTTAACCGACCCTTATGGGACCGAGCATAGGCCTGCTCAAATTAATTTGAGGTTAACTTTAATTTTGTCTTGTGACTCCTTTACCTCCTCTAGGGTGAATTAAGATTGTTTCTGCGGATCCTCGTCAAGAATATCTATACATTTTTAGTCATATCTAGGTCGTCAAAACATTTAAAATGAACACAAGAACGAACATTGTTTAAACAGAAGATACAATTGAAATTTTTGACTACAACTGTGGCCAAGACAAAATTAAGGTGTACCTTAATGTACTCATTAACCTCTTTTATATGTTAAGTGACTAGAGACTACACAAAAATGTAACTGCTCAAAATGTTGGTTTTAAAAGGCAACTATGTTTTAACTATGTTTTAATCTACTTTTAAGATAAACACTTGTACCATCAATACCTATATTTTTGCCTGAGCACAAATGGTTGATCCAAGTGTCGATTGATCCAGGGTTCATTAAAAGATGGCCTGCTGGACTGAGAGGTTGAATTTGATAGGTAAAAATGTTTTTGTCTTTCAGGGTAATTTTAAAGAAGACAATTTTAACTCGGCAATGGCAGTACTAGCCAACGCTGGTGACTTGGCTAAAGGGGACAAGCAGCTCAGAGGCCGTAAAGGAGGCAGCAAGACCGGAAGTGATACAAACTGCTTCAAGATTGTCAAGATGATTATGGAGAGAAACTTTGCCCCCGTCATCATATTTTCATTTAGCAAGAAAGACTGTGAGCTGTATGCGATGCAGATGGCTAAACTTGATTTTAATACTTGTAAGTTAAATCCCTTTGGTTGATCACATTTTAGTGACAAGTCAATTCAAACACTCTTTATTCATTGAGAAGCGGATGATGAAATTCTTTTTGCTAATGATGCAAGATTAGGTTTAGGCTCACTTTAAGATTAGGGGATAGTAGGTCTACTTGAATGGAAATTGTTTCTTGGTCACAAGAAACTCAAATTCCCAACTAGAACCTTTGTTGGTCGAAAATACTGTCAGTGACAGTGAAGAGTGATATATTCATATTTGTTAGTATAATTTAAAGTGTTTGTGTTTATTGTGCCAGGATTTAGGTAAGCCTACGATGCAAATTCCATTATATCTTGTTACACAAAAAATTAAGCTTAGAAACTCAGAGTTTCAAGAAGTTGATCATAAAGTAATTTTGCTTTAATATCATTGTTATAATATCAATGGATGTAGTTCTATGTAGGGATGGACAGGTCCCGAAATTTCGGGAATTTTTCGGGAAAAAAATATTCCCGATTATCGGGACGGGATTACATTTGACTCGGGAATTTTTCGGGACGGGATTTGGTCCGATCGTCGGCGATTTTTCCGCTTCGCGAGTGCCGATAACGCCGTTATTGCGAGCGATAGGTCCGCGAACGCAGGAGACGACGTCATTTCGACGATTACGCCGTGACCGCGGAGTCCTACCGACGACCGCGCCGTGACCGCGAGTCATACCGACGATCGCGCCGTGACCGCGAGTCATACCGACGATCGCGCCGTGACCGCGAGTCATACCGACGATCGCGCCGTGACCGCGGAGTCCTACCGACGATCGCGCCGTGACCGCGAGTCATACCGACGATCACGCCGTGACTACGGAGTCCTACCGACGATCGCCCTGTGACCGCGGAGTCCTACCGACGATCGCGCCGTGACCGCGAGTCATACCGACGATCGCGCCGTGACCGCGAGTCATACCGACGATCGCGCCGTGACCGCGAGTCATACCGACGATCACGCCGTGACTACGGAGTCCTACCGACGATCGCGCCGTGACCGCGGAGTCCTACCGACGATGGCGCCGTGACCGCGAGTCATACCGACGATCGCGTCGTGACCGCGAGTCATGACGACGATCGCGCCGTGACCGTGGAGTCATACCGACGATAACCCCGTGACAGCGAGTCATGCTGACGATCGCGCCGTGACCGTGGAGTCATACCGACGATAACCCCGTGACCGTGGAGTCATACCGACGATCGCGCCGTGACCGCAAGTCATACCGACGATCGTGCCGTGACCGCGAGTCATGACGACGATCGCGCCGTGACCGTGGAGTCATACTGACGATAACCCCGTGACCGCGAAGTCATACCGACGATCGCGCCATGACCGTGAGTCATACAGACAATCACCTCGTGACCCGCGAGTCACAAGTTTCTATAGGTACCTGTAAATTGTTACCCATTTTTTGGTTTTTATAGATCAGTGCCACAAATGGTAAAAATTGATTTTGTATGTCTTTTTTGGTAACTGCAATACAGTACTTTCTTTTTATGCACAGAAAAAAATCCCATCCCGTCCCGTCCCGTCCCGAAAATCGGGAAGGAAATAAAAATCCCGTCCCGTCCCGTCCCGAACTAAAAATTCAATCCCGTCCATCCCTAGTTCTATGTATAGTCTGATATTTTTAATCAATCTCTATGTTCTCTTTGTTTATGCAGTGGAAGAGAAGAAGTTGGTAGATGAAGTGTTTAATAATGCCATGGATGTTTTATCGGAAGTAGATCGGACTTTGCCTCAGGTGGAGAACGTAAAGCCGTTGCTCAGAAGGGGTATCGGAATCCATCATGGAGGTAAGATATTAAACAAACAAATAGTTGTACTGATGACTGTAACTCAATCCATGGTCAACCTGTACTAAGAATACTATTTACCATCCCAAGACTACTGAATTTAGAAACAAAGTCACATTTAGTGTGGCCTCGCTAACATTTCTCAAATATTGTCAGTTGCAAAATAGCACAAATGGTTTACCTGATTAAATAAATTTGCTTAATGCAATTCATATGATTGCATTAAGCAAATTTATTTAATCAGGCATTTCAATTTGTGTAATCATCTTCTTCGATAGCAGCAAAATATTGACCATTTCCTACGATTGTGGTTACTTCAAGTCTCTTGCAGTCACATTGTGAAGTCAAAGTCAAAGTCAATCATTTATTTGAACTTTTGGCAATTCATTTAATTGTTTTCTGCACAGTGATAATATCTTGAGATCCCAGTAAAAAAAATAGCCTGAAATAATTCAACCGACAAAGTGTCTGGTTTGTTATTCCAAGAGCTTACCATTGAACTTTTGTGTAACAGTATTTATTTTTAATAAGTTCGGATTTTTGGCTACCAACCATGCTTTCTTAAGCTGTTAATTCTTAGCTGTCAATGTGTTATCTCAATGAGGTGTCAGGAATCCTCCATAAAAATGTTTTGAACCCTGAAAGATTCAAACTATTAACTATTTTGCAGCTTTAAAAAGTCTGCACATTTCCATATGCAGTTTTGATGCCACTTTTACTTTCGATGAAGAGCAAATGGGGATTCCCTATATTAAAAATTGTGTCAACTTTTTTACGCTTAATGAAATATTTCAGTGATTAATTACACCTAAATACTCATTCATAATCTGTGGTTTTCAGGTTTATTACCAATATTAAAAGAAACAATTGAAATCTTATTTGCTGAAGGACTTATAAAGGCTCTTTTTGCAACTGAAACATTTGCGATGGGTTTGAACATGCCTGCCAGAACTGTCCTTTTCACTGGAGCAAGAAAGTTTGATGGAAAAGATTTTAGATTTGTAAGTACCTATATTGGTTTATAATTGTATTTGTTTGTGGTATTGGGGAGGAATTTCTTACCTGCATTACACTGATTCTTGTGACTTTAACTTTTTTTCATACACTGGTTTGTATCAGAAAAGTCTGTAATCTATAATTTATTGAGGATTAATTTCTTGTGTCGTAGTCTTTTCCAAATCATTGTTTGACTAATGTTTTAAATAGTTGTTTAGCTGTGTTGTAGTTGTAATACAGCTGTTGTGTGATCTGTTAGAACCAACCAATAAATTATTGGTAATCGCTTCTGTTATTTTGAAATTTGATTGTCAAGTTTAAAAATTCAAAACTCAAAAGTATCAAAATTTATTCTGAAATTTGTCAAAACCAAAATCACAACAGTCCATCTTTTCTCTTTCCCTCTTTCAAATGATTGGGTAATATCCATTATTCAAGACTTGACATGTAAACAATTTAAATTGCTTGCTTTGCTATTTTACTATTCACAAACTAAATGTCGAACAAAATATTTACTAATCAGCTGTTAGCCTCTGGATTATTTTAAACTCTTGTTTTTAGGTGACCTCAGGAGAGTACATTCAGATGTCAGGTAGAGCGGGCAGACGAGGTTTGGATGACAAAGGCATAGTAATCCTGATGATTGACGAGAAAGTGAGTCCGCAGGAGGGTCGGGAGATCATCCAGGGTAAACCTGACCCGATAAACTCAGCGTTCCACCTAACCTACAACATGGTGCTGAATCTGCTGAGGGTAGAAGAAATCAACCCTGAGTACATGCTGGAGCGGTCGTTCTTCCAGTTCCAGAACCAGGCGGCGATCCCGGAACTGTATCAGAGTATGTGAAATTGATCAATCCGTAACTTGCAAGACAAAGGGCCGTAAGTACATATTGCAGGTTTTTCAGATGTACTTACTCCTCTTGCCTTCCAAGTGACGAACTGAGTCTAAATTTTCATTGTTAGGGAAGCCGAGTGACTGGCTTGGAATGAATTTGTTCAACCCACTCGAAAGAAATTTTATAATTGTAGTGTGAGTAGCCTCTGGATTGTAAAGAAAGGAAGTTCATATGAAGTAACCTGATCAGCTGTATATCCTACAGTATAGACGCAACTTCCGCATTACCAACACCGGTCCGCTCGTAGTGTTTAATGTTTCATTTTATTGGTCGTATGTATGTGCGCGCTAAGTGCTTGTGTGTAAAAAACTGTTGATCCTGATGACTTTCATTTGAAGTAATCATCCTTGTACTCACCTGATGATGACCTCTTAGTAGGTTTCCTCAGGCAAGCAAGCTGAACTATCCCTTGTGTCTTAGTTTGTTTTCTTTCAACAGAGTAAACCTTTTTTATACAGGGAGCGGCAAAATAATCTGACGGTTTTCTTTGCCTCCCTGTCGAGCGAGTGAGTGGCAGAGGGTGGTGGGAATAGGGGCATTACAAAACCAACGTGCGGACATTTTTAGGAGCCATAGAATTGTGGACGGCAAAGCACCATGAATTTGTAGTGGAAGTGTTTTTAAAGTGGCTATTCCTGTGTACCTGTTCAGCAGACGTTTGAATGTAAGTCAAGGAAGAAAAGTCCCAACTCAAAACACCATTTTGCTGTAGGTTTGTAAGGTCAGCCCAGACACCAGAGAACGTCAAGAGAGTGAGGAAGACTGTGTGGTGTGGTTGAAAGTGCGATTTGTCGCTCATAATGACAATTTTGTCACGTGTAAGCAAATCGATCACTTGTTCTGAAAATGAGATGTGCTTTGCATAACCACTGGGCTTCAACTGTTGCATTTTGTATGCATGAAAGTGCAGGTCGTATCGTAATACTCTTCCACCAAGCGGCCAGACATGTGCAGAGCTGCAGTTTATTTACGTGCTGGCCGCCGAGGACTAGCTTCCACAGCCTATCTCTCCACTCTCTCAACGTTCTCTGGCTTCCGGGCTTACCTTGGCCTGTTGATTATTTTTTCAATGCTGAACTAGTAGTTCTGAAGTTACCCACTCACGGAAAAATGGTATTTCGAGTTGGGAATATTTACCCTGGATCTATATTGAAACGTATACGGAACTGCCGCTTAACAGCTACATATAATTGCCACTTTTAAAAAACACTTCCACTAATAAACGGTACTCTGCCATCCACATCTCCATGGCTACTAAAAATGTCCGTACATTGTCTTTAAAACGCCCCTATTCCCACCACCCTCTGCCACTCACTCGCTCGACAGGGTGGCAAAGAAACCCGTCAGACCATTTTGCCGCTCCCTGTAGTTTGTGCTAGTGGCATTTAATGTGAGAGAATCACAAGTTTGTTGAACTAACCAGTCACTCTCAAACTAAAGTTTGTGACAATAGCTAGGCTAGCTTACACCCTTGGTGGGCCATCATGATTCTCAACATTTCATCTGCTTTGAATGAATCTTGTAGTAATATAGAATCTCTAGTAGTTATTATTTATCTTTTAAAACAATGAGCGGTTTTCCCCCTTTATAAACAGTAGGCCTACCTACCCCTGTTATTTTGTCACAAGAAGAAGAAATGTATACTCGATAAGACTGATCTGGTATTTTACCATCCAAAAGAATATTGCAAACATTTGGTATATTTGAGTTTTTGGTTTGAAATATTTAAAGATAACGCCAACAGCTTGCTCGCAGAAACCTAAATCAATTCAAAATAGTTTCTTCTTTGAAATTGTTCTTAATGTAAAAACAAAAACCACACCTAACATATCTTAGGATTAGCGTTTTTACCAGCAAGAATCTGTTGAATAATGTTTTGTTTCCGTAGAGGTGCAAGAGAAGCAAGACCTGTACGACAGTATTCAAATCCGCAACGAGAGCGAGGTGGCTTCATACCACCACATCCGCGACAGGCTGGACCAGCTCAGCAAACAGTTCCAGGAGTTCCTCACCAGACCGCAGTACCTGCTGCCGTTCTTACAGCCGGGCAGATTGGTCAAGGTATTTCAATGTTGAACAGTCATTATCATTAATAAAGGATGGAAATTAAAAAATTTTTATGGGATTTAACATTTCTGGGAGCTTGGATTATTGAATTTATCCTGCATCTGTGCAGTGTGTTCGAGATGGTTCACCATTGCATATTTCATCTCACTTCTAGTGGTGTAGTCATATACTGTTTAGTTTGGGAACACTCAATCGTCTAAGAACTGCCTAGTTCATATGGGATTAATAATATATAGGATTAATGGAAAAGGCAGACTCCACTACACCACTGCTTACTTCAATCCAATCCTAGCTGGGTATATTTGGTGTTTTTGTGATTGCAGTAATATAGGCTATAACAAGATTTACAGTCAAGAAAATGCATGAATTTTATCGAGTTGTGGTTAGTCGTTTGACTGTGTGTTGGACAAATATCAAGTTTTTCACCCCGAAGAAGCAGGTTGTGGGTTATGTGTGTGTATCTTTATTAGGGGTCTGCGGGTCCCCGATTTTTTCGGGTCGGGTCGGGCCAGCGGAAGGCCCGAGAGACCGGGTCGGGTCAGAGATTTGTTCGGGCCAAGATCGGGTCGGGCCAAAAAAAAAATAATTAAATTATTATTTTCAAAGTTATAATAAGTTATTTTCAAAGAAACACTCTTATATATATTATTACAGAGGAATTAAAACATTAAAATTCGAATTAAATATTAAGTTTGCTCACGATGGTTTAAGAACAAAGACACAACAGAGCAATTGCCGTACTGTCACTAGCCAGAGCCAGTCGTCTACTGACAAAAGCTGTGACGCAACAGTGCAAAGAAAACGAAGTCAAAAGAAAGACTATTTATCCAGAGGTACCAGTTTAATTATTTATTGTTTATTCCATACCTAGTTTAAAATATATTTTAGTATTTTACATAATAAATTATAAAAAAAAGAAATATCTGATATAGTGTACAGATCTGTATCTTGTTCTTTTATTTTCCTATTGTCCTTTTTGTCATTCAGTTACAAAACAAAACAACACTTCTGATCGTCTGGTTCTGCATTGTATGGTCACCATTTCATTTAAAAAAAAGTCAAGTATCAGCAAGTCTACAAAGAGGTTAGGGCTAAATATTTTATAACTTTTATGAAAGTTTTCATTAGTAAAATTATTTTTTCTTAAGTTAGATTGAGTTTCAAAAAGGATATTTCTAAGATCCAATACAATATTTACAAGACATAGACTACCATGAATTAATTTCTTTGGAAATTATCTGTAACAGTTTTATATTTTTTAATAAAGAAATAATATATCTTTTTGTCTCTACTTGCTTGTTTCGTTACTTGCATTTTGTCAGCAATTTGACAACCGGGTGGTGTAATAGGGCGGGGGAGGGGGAGGGTCTATGACCTTGAGTGTCCCCGAGCCGGGTTGTGCAAGAGGGGAGGGGAGGGGGAGGGTCTGTAACCTTGAGTGTCTCCGGGCCCGGACCTGGCTGTGAGTGTGATTCATGGTTTTTTGTTTACATTCTACTACCCTTCCTTCCGAGAAAAAGACCTTACAGTTTCAAAAACATTGACTTACAGTATAAAAACATTGAGTTGTGTTGCTAATTAGGGCACTATAATTTCTGTGCTGTCTGCTTATGTTACCAAATTAGCATTTAACTTTCTATTCTCTTGATTTAATATAATTTTCTATAATTATATTAAGAGTTCCTTTTCGGGTAGGCTACCTAATTAATTGTGATATCGTTTGACTTGAGTTTATGGATTTTTAATTCTTTATTATTCTTTATTAGCTATCAAAATCAGTTGTTTTAGGACTTTAATCTCTTGCAATACCGTAGGTCTATACTACTGTGTATGACATGATATGCAATTTTTACAGCCTTTACTATAACTATACGATAAACAATGTATGTGTGTTATTTACTGTTTTAGAGTGTTATAGTAAATTAGTTTACACAATATCTTTTCTTCAATGAGTTCTCCACTTGTCATGTTGCTTAGCCTATTACTATAAAAATTAATTCCTATGTAAAGCTGTAGGCCTAAATGCCAATAATAGATAATTCTTTATTTATGATGATGTAACTAATAATGCTATTGTAAATGTGAGGTTTTTATACTTAGGAGGTTAGGAGGCAGGGAATGAATGATTCATATTGCATGGTGGAAACATAGAATTTTTATTTTCTTCTTGCTTGCAGTCTTGAAGCCAGTCCACAGGCCCTAAACTTGTGATAAGGTTAATTGATTTGTTTATGATCCTTTTATATTAAGTTCCATTTCAAACTTGTTGTAATATAACTATTTAGATATTTAAACAGTTATGAAAATGGGAAAGAATGGCTTGATAAAAAAAATTATTTTCTTCTTTCTTGCAGTTGATTCAACTCCTAAGCTGTAAATAAGTTATGAACATGAAATAATATACATAAATACAATCTTTTTTCATATTTTATTTTCAAGTAATATTATAAACACAGAGTTAAAAGAAAAAAATCTGGTAATTAATAATTTTTGGCCCGACCCGATTTTGGCCCGAAACCCGAGGACCAAAATTATCGACCCGACCCGAACCAAAAAAGTCTGACCCGCAGACCCCTATAGTCCTCGCCACCCTAAGTTGAGGCAGCCAAAGGCCGCACTAGATATACGCCGTGCGGCCTTGGGCTGCCTCAACTTAGGGTGGCGAGGACTATAATCTTTATGTAGGTATATGACGAGTTCTGGATATCACCAGACAATAATTAAAGTTAGTGAAGCCCAGCAAAATATTTACAAATGAAAATTTACTAGATTGGTTGGATAGTAAAAATTCAATACCACAGATTTTAAAGTCATAGGACTATTGTTTTTGTACAAGTCTTGGTAAACTTAGGCTTATATATTTTTAGATAGTCTTCATACTCAAGGAAGAGAATATTAGAATTATTGTGATCGTCTCTCGTGATTGTGGCAAAATCATAAACTGAACATGGCGTAGAAAACACATGAAATAAAACAAAATAAAAACATCTTCCATGATGGTGGCGAAATTCCCACTCTCCACCTATGTACTAAAATTAGATTGAAGTGACTCTTGATCCAACTTGTCCCGATTTTTAGGACCCAATCCGGTGTCCACATTCTGGAAAGTCAGGGATAGTCATGGAAAAAAAATCTGGTCATTGAAAGTCATGGAATTTGGCAAAAAGTCAGAATGGAAAGTCATGGAAATCCCCAATGATGGGTGGATTTGAAGGGACCTTTCAATACTCTAGTCGGCTGTAACCCCGACTATTGTAGCATTTTTCAGGATTTTTTTGCAAATGTACGACAATTAAATTTATTAGAGTTGAATAGTTTATGAGTTTTGAGTTTCTATTAGTTTATTGTTGTACCTATTGTACTCCATTGTTATCTGTTAATACATATTTCAGTATTTTCTGTGAAATAACTTATCCAGGCAGTATTATTCGTGTGTGTATGTTATATTATAATTTTCGAGTAACGTTTGTGATTCATGGAAATCAATGGTAAATGGTCATGGAAAGTCATGGAAATTAATGACAAATTTTCTGTGGACACCCTGCAATCAAAAAAGTCTGTACCTATCTTGGTTTTTTTATTGGGGAAAAACTAGTTTAAAAATTCTTTAATATAAAAACTCACAAAATATGTTTTGGTCACAGGTGAAAAGCGAGCCATCAAATGAGGAGTTTGAATGGGGAGTTGTGGTGAACTTTGAGAAGGTCGGAGCCAACCAGAGAGGCAAGAACCCAGCGCAGGAGGACTCAGAACTGTTCGTTCACACATTGTTGTACGTGAAGACTGACGGAGGCAGCACTCCTCAACCTTGCCCACTGGGCAGTCATGGGGAGATAGAGGTATAATAGTACACTAGACACTACCCCAGAACCGTTTTTCACATTACTTCAGGCTAAACCTAGAGGTTGCTGCATTATCTACATGAAACCATCAGTGATTTGTCCTAATGGTTCCAAAACAAGCAGGCATCTGGTGTTTTTTCCTGTAAGATAAAAATGTGGGCAAGTTTCATTTGTTTGTCCATAGGCATTTGGCTCCCATACTAAAGTCGTTGACAATTTTACAATAAAAAAAGATCAGCTAACTTTCATTGTCTTTCAACGGAACCTTTGATTCAGAATGTTAAATTTTATGTTCTTTAGCTCTTGGCCTTTGTTTGGTATTATTGTAAACTATAGACCTAATTAATAGCAGTTACTGCAATCTACTAACATTGTTAGAAATGAAAAGAACTCCAATTCAATATAAGTTTAATATGCCCAACCATAATAGAGAACTACACGAAACACCATTAGGCCTATTTGTAGAGTGTTACTAAGATATACTAGCCATTTACCAATTTAATGTTTACAGGTAGTTCCAGTTAAACATTCACACCTCTGCCAGATAAGCTCTCTGAGAATTCACGTTCCTGACGATTTGACGTCACCCGACAAGAAAAAGTCTGTTTTAAAAACAATAGAGGTAATTGTGTACCACATTTGTTTTTATGAAAAAAGAACTACCCTCAGTCAGTACAACATGTAAAGGATTTGTGATTCTAAGATCACTTTTTGTTATTAAACCTAATGTTATTAAACAGTTATCTTATTTGTTTCCTTTGAAAAAAGAAAACTTTCAAGTAAATGCAAAATTGTACTTGTTACTGATACAAGACATAGACCTGGCTTAAGTGAAGTATGCCTGCTTCAAACTACTTAAACAAACACCCATATTCTCTTTTGTTTTTCTTATTCCATTTACTGGACGTCAACTAGACCACCATCTACCATCTTACTTGTATCTTTTTAGAATCCCTCTTTACATAATTTCTCCAACTTCAACTTATTTTCTCTCAGTTTCCATAATTCTAACACCACTTCCTGCAAATTCTATCTTCTTGCATTCTCAGATGTAAAAAAAACCATCATAGTCTAGTTTTTTCCACTCTCCTTTTTAAAATTTCTTCAACCAATCATCTACCCTTCTTACGATCTCTTCAATTTCATCCCTAATTCACCATATTTTACTCATTATGGCCCTTAAACAACGCATTTTCTCAATGTATTCTGCTTAATTATTTTTCATTTAATTTAATATTCCTTCCAATTAGGAACGTTTAGAACTATAATATTTCGTATAACCTGATTGGCCACTTATTATCGTAGGTGGTAAAACTATCCATCTGTTTTTCCAGCAAGTTGGAAAAAGATTTCCTGACGGCGTTCCTCTGCTCAACCCTGAAACGGACATGAAGATAAAAGACGCGGCTTTCAAAAACATTGTTTCAATGATAAACACGTATGAGCAGAGGCTGTTCAGCCATCCCATGCACGAGAAAGAGGAGTTGGAAGATGTTTATGAACAGTATCTCGAGAAAGTTAAGGTAAACTATGTTTTAAAGTTTGAGACATAATAATAAACTAATTTGAAAGCACATTGTTGAGTGTGTATTGTGTTAAACAGTAATGTAATTACGCACTACGTAGTAATTTACGTCTACTTATCTGTTGCTCATTTACTAGCCTGCTTGTCCCCAACGTCGGGCCTTGACGTCAGCTGTTGTCGTCATCAGTTGTCAGGGCAGCCAATTCATAAAACTAAATTTCCTCTTGTTACTTTAATAATATATTTACTACAATTACTTTTAGGACATTTTTACATGTTAGATTTGTAGAATATAAATTCCTAGTTGTTTGGGATCTGGAATCTCACACTGTCGGGTGTGAAGTAAGGGGGTTTGCATCTTGTATCATTCTGATGTGATTTACGATTTATCATAACTCATAACAATAACGAGAGTTTTCTGTGGATAGAGTCCATCTTTCTGGCAGAGCTTGGTAAGAAAGAACAATGGATGGCTCAGGATGAAACTTGACAATATGGGTGAATAATTTGTATATGCCTAAAATCAGTATTTTTGTAAATTTTTTTCCTAGGGTGTAGTCCTACTGTGTGTGGTCTCCATCGAGAATTGGTTTGAAAGGAATTTGAATTTTTTGTGTAAGAAAAAATATTATGAAATATTAGGGATGGACGAGATTGGATTTTTAGTTCGAGACGAGACGAGATTTTTTATTTCTCATAAAATTTAGAGACGAGATCGAGACGGGATTTCCCTTCTCATACACAACGGGAAATGCATGTTCGGAATTTTTACCTGATTTTGTAACATTGTTAGATGACTGTTTAAATACAAAAATAATGATAATAGGCAAGAATATTTACAATCTTTTATTAAAAAACATCAGCATAACATTTTTTTATTAATCACGCCTAACTTATTAAAAATGCCTACGATTAGGAAACATAGTGATATCAGTTAGGATAGAGTTCAACTTATCCTAAAATAAAATAAATCATAAAATAAAATAAATCATAAAATAAAATATTAATTTTTATAAAATAGTTACTTGTTTTGACTTTTTTTATAGTAATAAAACATTCCTCACACTGCTAACACTTAACAAAAAACTCTTCAAATGTTATTAAAATAATTAAAGTAATAGTCGTTATCAGGCAGCCGATGAGGAAGGAGCTCGCTATCTGATCGTCCTTTGCCCGGTCCTGAGCGTCGCATACACCGTGACTACATGCTAGAATATCGTTACAAACTGATATTCCGAGTTTTCTGATATACCTTACTTAAAAATATTGCTTAAACTATGGCCGAGAAGTGTGTGAAGTGCAACGTGGAGTGCAATGTGGACGGGTCTGACGCTGTGAAGTGCTCGGAGTGCGGCGATGTGCTACACGTGGCCTGTGCGGGACTGAACGTGCAGAGGAAGACAAGAAAAAATAATCAGTTCAAGTGCGACAAATGTAAAGAGTCGGCGGTATCCATTTCAAGTGCTAGTGACAGTGAGGAGTCGTCGCTACTTAAAGCAATAAATAGTTTGCGCGCCGATTTCACTGATACACTTGGTAAAAAACTCTCAGAAATGGAGAAGAAGATAAATGAATCGATCCATGGTAAGCTTAACGAAATAAATGATAAAATTAATTCGTGGCAAGAGACAGTAGTAACGTCAATAACAGATCTTAAATCTGAAAACGAACTGTTAAGAGAGGAGTGTGGCGTGCTCAAATCACGGTGTGATGACCTGTCCAAGCAGGTCGGCACTTTGACGGGAGACCTTCAGGATCTGCAACAATATAGCAGAATAGACAATCTAGAGATCGTCGGAGTCCCCCTGACTAAGGACGAGGATGTCTACGCAGTGCTGCAAGCAGTCGCCAACGCTATAAAGACGCCATGGAGGCGTGATGACATCTCTATCGCGCACCGAGTACCTTCGAGTCGCCAGCGCTTCCCCAACATCATCGTGCGCTTCATCAGACGGACTGCCAAGCATGCATGGATCAGCGCAGCCAAAGATCTACCAGAGAACCTGACAGCCTTCATGGTCCACCGAAGCTTCCCCAACTCACCTGTATTCATAAACGAACACCTGTCAGCTCACAGTAAGGCAACTTTAAGCCACGCCAAGACATTAGTTAAAGAAAAACGTTTAGCATATGCATGGGCGAAGGAGGGTAAAATCCTTGTGAAGAAGACACCGAACGAGAAAGCAAAGCGAGTGAAGAACGTCGAGGAGGTGGAGGCGGCAGCGGTGGCGGCAGCGGGGGCGGCAGTGGGGGCGGCGGCTCAGCAGCAGACCAGCGACAAAGACAATGGTGAAGCAAAGGGACCAGTGTGAAGATCGCCAGGAAGTTTAAAAACAATATCATGCTGTAAATATCTTAAGGTATATATCAGCCACATTAACAATATTAACTTATTATATTTTTGCATGCACCAAGTTTTATTTATATTCTAGGTATCTGTTTATTTATTTATATAAATTATTTTCAATCTAAATTTTTTACTAAGATCATTGCCTGTTCATATATTTCTTGTTTACTAATTTATAAGCTAGGGCAAAAGAGAAATATTTTTGGCATTTTAACCATTTAATTCTGAAAGTTTTAATAATGTAATACCTTAACTCAATCAATTTAATAATGTAAATTAATTGTTAATGATTTCAATTCAGGAAAATATATACAATTATTTTGCAAGGGCATGAAACAATTATTTATAAAAACAATTCATTAAATTTAAATTCATATTTAGTTTTATACAACAAAAGAAAAATGAATTGCACTTATTTATTATATAAATTGCTTTATTATATTAATATTAATATTTTATGACCTATTATATTTTTTGTATTATATTTATTATATTAAATTTGCAAGTGATGAAGAATGCAGCTGATAGGTAACTTTTATTTGTGATTGATATTTAAAAACAGACATTATGGGACGGAGGGACTGGGTGGGGGTTTTTCAGGGGCGAATAGGGTTTTGTTTTGTTTCAATCTTAAATAGCACACAAGTAATTTGTTTATATTTTTCCCATAAGGAGACATGGATGATTCCAATTTGTTTTTCGATCAATATAGGCAGATAGACTGTACAATAGTAGATAGGTTTAAGGACATAAGTTCTGTTTTTAAAAGTAGTTCATTCAAATGTTTATACATGAATGTTCGTAGTTATAATAAAAATTTTGATACACTTTTATTAATGTTACAGTCAATCGATGTAAGGTTTGATTTCATAGCGCTTGGGGAGACATGGCTGGGTAGGGATGGGGGGTCGGGGTTGGACATAGAGGGGTATAAATTGTATTGTACAACTAGGGGGAAAAATAAAAATGATGGGGTCTTGATGTATGTGAGTGAGAGAGTGAATGTGTGTGAATGCAAGGAACTGGAGCTGGGTGACGTGCATGGACTGACTTTGGACTTTGTCCATCAAGGAACTAGATCTAACGTTCTGACTGTGTACCGTACACATGACAGCGACTTAGACAACTTTACTAACGCTCTTAGACATTACTATGAGAACAAAAATGACTGTAACACATACGTCTTCATGGGTGACACTAACGCCAACTTACTAGAAACTGACTACAAAACTGAACGCTACTTGGACGTTTTTTACGAACATGGTTTTATATGTGGCATAAATACACCTACTAGAGTAGTAGGAAATAGTCAAACAAATATTGACCACATATTTGTAAACCACAATGATTATACTGCCTTACAAACTGCTGTGGTGAGGACGGACATAACTGATCACTACAGTATCTGCCTACAAATAAGTCACAACCCCTACACTAAGGACACGTCACACAACACAAACACTTACATTGACAAAACATCTTTGAGCTTAAACATTAAAGAGTGTGATTGGTCAGATGTCACGCACACGTGTGACGTTAACACATCTACAGACATTCTTTTTGGCAAAATTAAAGATTGTGTAAACAAATCCACAAAACAAAGATCTGTTCTCAAACCGAGGCTGAGACCTCTCAAACCATGGATTACCCATGACTTAGTACGAAAAATAAGGGATAGGGACAAATTGAGCAAGTTAGTTAGGAGACAACCGTTTAATATGGAATTGATTTCAAAATTTCAAAGAGTAAAAAATGAGTTAAATCAAGATACAAAACTAGCCAAATACAATTACTTCAGAGAAAAACTTTCACATTCAAAAAATAATCCAAAAACATTCTGGAGTACTTTAAACGAATTAGCGGGTAGAGGTAATAAAAAGGACATTTTCCCACTTACACAATTTACAGGAAACAGACTGAATGTTGAAAACGACTGTAGATTACAGGTAGCCGACGAATTTAATGAGTACTTCGCCAACGTTGGTCCCAACTTGGCAGCAAGTGTGGATTCGGGCGGTTTACCTGTGGTCGATGACACTGACCACGCTGTTGACTCCATCCTCACGCTTCACACTGTCACTGAACAGGAACTGTACACTTACGTCACTAGACTGCGAGGTGGCTCAGCTCCAGGGTATGATTGTGTATCAGCTGAACTACTCAAAGACAACTGGGAGACACTTAAACAACCACTGCTACATATAACTAACACAAGTATCCAAAATGGTATATTTCCTAATGCCTACAAAATTGCCAAGGTAATTCCCCTCTTCAAGTCTGGTGACGTCACCAATATCTCAAATTTTAGGCCAATTTCTTTGCTAAGTGTGTTCACTAAGATTTTAGAAAAAATTATCAAAGATCAAGTTTGTCATTACCTTAATCAGCACGATATTTTGACACCCCGCCAGTTTGGTTTCAGAAAATCAAAAAACATCACAGATGCATTGTTCGAGGTTAATAAAGATATAAATTTGGCCATCAGTAGAGGCAGACGTGTTATTCTGGTATTTTTTGACTTGGCCAAGGCTTTTGACTCAGTTGAGAGATCATTTCTTTTAAAAAAATTAGAACTGGTAGGTGTTAAAGGTGTGGCTCTAAAATGGTTCCGATCTTATTTTGATGATAGAAAACAGTTTGTAAATATAAATGGAATCGATGGGAATCTTGGTAATGTAGATTTTGGTGTGGTTCAAGGTAGCACGTTAGGGCCTTTACAATTCTTGATATACATTAATAATCTTGTGAAATTGGACATTGAAGGTGAATTTTACCTCTTCGCCGATGACACCTTAGTTTTATTCCAAGGAGAAACTTGGGACTCAGCTTTTGCCAATGCCGAAAGAGGTGTATCGAAAATTAAAAAATGGTTTGATCAGAATATTTTAACGCTAAACGTCACCAAAACAAAATTCATTCCAATTTCCTTAAGAGCTCGAAGTGACACACTTCGCAACGAAATCAAAATTCATTCATGTGGTCAAGAAACCGGAAATAACTGTAATTGTCCAGTAATAAATAGAGTTCAAAATTATAAATATCTTGGAGTTGTATTTGATTCGAAATTGTCATGGACAGATCACGTGTCATATTTAAACAAAAAGTTAAGAAAGTTGATATTTGCTTTTCGTCAACTACACCAATTCCTTGAAAAAGATGAAATTAAAAATGCATATTTTGCTTATGTACAGTCGCTGCTTGAGGGGGGGATAATTGCCTGGGGTGGTGCTTACAGCAACATTCTACAACCTCTCGTTGTAACACAAAAGGCAATCATAAAAGCGGCACTCGGCAGGTGTAGGCAATACCCTTCTGAAACTCTGTTCACTGAAATGAATGTGCTTGATGTAAGACAACTTTTCATCAGAACAGTTTCACTGTTTATTTACAAACACCATGAGACGCTCTTTGACCGTCCACAACATGACCATAATACTCGACGTGCACTAGGCCAAGGTATACGCTTACCCAGACTTACAAAGACATTTTCTACCACTAACTGTTATTATGTTGCACACATCATTTATTCTAACCTTCCACTAGACTTACGAGAATACGGCAGACACTCAATTTCAACGTACAAAAAACACATTGTTCACTGGCTTAATCTCATTGGTAGGGATGGAGCTAATAGTTTATTAGTTTCTATATACAGACAATAGGTTGACAGCTGATACAGGTGTGCGTGACATTGCTGTGTGTGTGTGAGTGCGTGTGCGTGTGTGTGTGTATGTGTGTGCAGTTCTCGATTCTGTGCCACAGGGACAGAGCATTGACGGCCCTAGTACCCTAGGGCTACCAGCCGCTTGTTGGTGTTGGGACCGAGGACAGCTGAGTGTATCAGTGTGTGGATGTGTGTTGGTGTGTGTGTGTGTATGTGGGGGGAGGGTGGGGGGGGGGGTGTTCGGGTTGGTTAGGGATGGGGTAGGTCATCATGACACTGATAGTTGTTATCTACATGGTAGATTAAAAGTACATAGTGGGCCTAATTTACTATGTCATGACTCCGCTGGCGCTTTGGAGTCTTGCCCGCACTTTAATTATTAGAAGTACCTGTTTTTTGTTATCAAACCTTTTAATTCTTTCTAATCAAACATCATACGACTCACTCCCACGCACGGGTTATCCCATGTGGGATTAATTTCGTTTATTTTAGTTATACATTTAAAACCTATTTCTATTGCATGTATTACATTTTGTAAATATTGTCTATTTTATACGAAATAAAGGATTTTGATTTGATTGATTTGATTTGAATATTTACATTTGAAGAATTAATTAAATAAGAACGCCTTCGCAAAGGAAACGCAACTACAACACGCTCCTGTATTGCGGGTATTGCATTGACTTTCTGCAGGCGTTTTAATTTTTTTTTTTTTTTCTCGTCTTGATAAAAATCTCGGCCAAAAAGATATCTCGTCTCGTGTAACAAGATTCAAAAATTCACGAAAATTTCCCGAAATTTCAAGACTTGACCATCCCTATGAAATAGGCATGGCTAAATATTATCAAATGAAATCACAAGAATTTCAAGGTTGGAATACATATTATCAATAATTAAAATACTTTTACTGTTCCTAATATCTAGGTAGGAGCTGAACTAAAGCTAGCAAAGGCGGAACTGAAGAAGGCGATGTCCCTGTTACAAATGGACGAGCTCAAGTGTCGCAAGCGAGTGCTGCGCAGGATGGGATACTGCACGGCAGACGATGTCATTGAGATGAAAGGCCGTGTCGCTTGTGAACTCAGCAGGTGTGTGTGGTGATTGGAATAGGCTATGTTAGTTGGTAATGTTCAGCTAGTTTACCTGATAAAGTTAGACCAATCGGATGAAGTTGTACACTAGCACAAAATGTCAGTGATCTTTGAGGACCTTTATTTGTGTATCTATTTTCTCCTGGACTATAATTTGCTCTGGTAAGCTAACCAAGCTCTTTCCACTTAAAAACATTATAATCATCCTCTTGGCTTTCCTTTGAAATTCCTGAATGAAGTTTTAAGTAACATTGTAATGATTGCAGTGGAGAGGAATTGCTGATGACGGAGTTGATATTCAACGGTGTGTTCAATGACCTCTCAGTGCCCCAATGTGTGGCGTTGCTGAGTACGTTTGTGTGTGACGAGAAAAGCTCATCGAACCCCAAAATGTCAGAAGAGCTCGCCGGTCCCCTCAGACAGATGCAGGTGAGTTTAAGCAATGCTTCATAGTTAGCATTGAGTCGTTTGACCCTTAAGATGTACGGTAGAACTCCAATCATCCGAATTAATTAGGAATGTACCACATTTACTTACTTACTCTTACTCTTACTCCTGTGGCCATTGGAAACCTAGGTGGTTTTTGGCCTCGCCAACCATGTGCCTCGAAGCTCTTCTATCCTCTGCCAGCTCCAAGTCTGCTCCCATTCCTCTCAAGTCCTTCGTCACCTCATCAACCCATCGCATTCTTGGTCTACCTAATGGTCTCCTTCCTTCTGGTATACCTCTGAGTACCATCTTTACCATCTCTCTCTCACAAATGTACCACATTTGGGTTGTCAAAAATTGAGATAGTTGGATTTTTACTGAAAATAGGTTGAGTCAAATCCGAGCTTTTACCATCATGATTGCAGAATGAATCTGCAAAACCTTTTATAAATATCACATTATCGCCGCGATTTCGAGGGACAATCGGCATGTTTTCTGTTACCACGGGAGTAGATGACAATGTCTAAAAGACCGCAGAAGATGTTTAAACATTTTCTCCGATTGCGGAAGTCGATGCTGATGTTTCTGTGACTGTGGGAGGCAATGACGATGTTGACTGGACCATGGGATGTATTCAAGATCCGTAATCATGAAAGACGTTGATGGTATTTCCATGACAGCTGGAGACGATGATGAGCACAACTGTAGGAGATTTAGCTGTGATGCCTTCTTTAATAACGATTGTCATTACTGTGATTTTAGGGTAAATGTCCGCAATAATCCTTCAATGAATTTATGCAACAAATGACGCACTAATAAGCAAATTAGCACCAAATGCGCACTAATAAATGCAAATGAGCGCTAATAAGTGCTGTTTTTTTGTTAGCTTATTAACTCTTCTGTCTTTGTAATGTTTCTGTTTAAACTTCCCAGTAGGAAGAAAATAGGTTTATGTGACCTTTGTAGTGGTCCATAATTTACATGTTAAAAAACCCCAGTAGATCTGCAATTTGTTTAAAAAACAACTTGGTTAATTTACATAATATTTAATTCTTTGTAAATAATGAAATTAAATTGCAGGAATTAACAAGAAGAATAGCTCGAGTGAGTGTTGAAGCTAAACTTCAAGTGGATGAAGACTCGTATGTGGAGCAGTTCAAACCTTTTCTGATGGACGTTTGCTTCAGTTGGTGCAATGGAGCGAGTTTTCTCGAAATATGCAAAATGACTGACATCTTTGAGGGTGAGAACTTAATACTTTAATAATACTTTCTTATTGAATGGGGACCGCACAAAGTAGGTATTTTAAGCCAAGTATGAATGGTGATGAGTGTAGGATGAGTGGCACGATATTGTAGTCTTGTTAGTGACTAAGGCCGACATTCCTTAGACACAGCTGTTAATTAATAGCCCATACAGCTAATTGCAACTAAGGGACCTACAGTTTATAGTGGAATCCAAACCACATTTTTTGCCTTGGTATATACGAATTGGTCTAATTATCAGGATAGTACTGCGGATTAGACGTAGTACTCACTTGTGCAGACATTAATCCACACCAGGGAGTATCGAATCTACACTGCATGCCTATAAATATCCACAATTCGTGACCTCCTAGTAGCTGGATTACAGGATGACGCCACCCGTCCCAGTGTTTATTTATGTTAATTCCCAATAGTCAAATATTTTAAGTTTTGCCTAACATTGAAATAGAGCCTGCCAGCATAGCTGAAAATACATCTAAAAATTATTAATGGTGTTATGTCATAGTTTAGTTACATGATTCATTATGATAATTCTTGTCACTAGAAAATTTAAACCCAGTGTTAAGCTTTCAATCTGCTGTCCTCATCAATGTGTGCTGTTGACTAAGTAAAACTGCAACAAGTAAATTCCTGAGAAACTAGGTTAGGTACAGCAAAATAGTGATGTTTACGAATATTATACGCAGTTTCTTAATGGCACAAGTCTTAAAGGTATGTTACTCATCAAAAACTGAAAGGGGTTTTACTCATCAATTGTTTATTATGTACTTTTTGTCCACAGGAAGTATAATTAGGTGCATGCGAAGACTAGAAGAAATGCTAAGACAACTGGTTCAAGCGTCAAAGAATATAGGCAACACGGACCTAGAAAATAAGTTCAGTGAAGCCATAAAACTAATAAAGAGGGACATAGTGTTTGCAGCTAGCTTGTACCTGTAAATAGCACTGTAAGTTGCATGAAATTGAAGTCATCATTTATGTAATTTTATATATACAAATGTAAATAAATTGTTGTTTTATAGTAAATTGTGTTGTTTCACAGCCAGATATAGATCATTTTTGAGAATACTTTCACCAGAATGCAATAAGAAATACAGGCAAGAAATACATACATTAACAACACTATTGTCAGGACCACGTAAGTTTGCAGTTGAGGGAGGAGCCTATTTACCATATGGTTTTGAATGAACCAATGAGAACCGTGCGGTGTTGCCAAATCTGTTAATACCAGCTGATTTTGATATATTGCTTAGTATATTTTAATTAGTGTTGTCAACGGGCGGTGTGGCAACGTCGCACTAGCCTTGTCTTGTGATTGGCTGCCACCAACTGCAAACTTACGTGGTCCCGACAATAAGGAACTATCTGTATAGGATTACCAAGGTATATTAATGAAAATAGCTCCTTGTGGATTAAGAGCGCAAAGTAAGTCATTGCCGTTAGAGAACTGTAGATGGACATTCTGAGATTGACAATGACTTTTTGTGCTTGTACTATACACAAGATTTTTCCTACCACCATAATTAATTTATCATAACACACAGAATAACGTTTAGTTGTATGTAAAATATCATTTAAGTTATGCTATTTGCTTATTGGTGGCAAAATAAGTTAAAATTAGTTTTACTAAGAAATCCCGAAGGAAGACGTCCGAGAGGAAGGCCAAAACAAAAATGGTGGAGCCAAGTAAAGAAAGACATGGAGCAACTAGGAGCAACTGAGGAGGATGCAGAGGATAGAGCAAGATGGAGAGGCTTTGTTGGTGCGGCCAAATATCTTCTTAGATATGCATGGCCCTGAGAGTAAGAGTAAGTAAGTATTTGCTTACTGGATGTTAAATGTTTTATAGAAAAACCAACAGTGAAATCAGCTGATTTAGCGAGCGGGAATGAATTCAGCAGATATTGACTATTTTGCTTACTGTTAACAGGCATGGCAACGTGATCATTTCCATTTAGTGGTAGGAAAACAATATTTAAAGTAACAGTCCAAAACTATTAGGTAATTATAAGCATACATTTTTTATTTTTAAATATTACAATTGTACACCTGCGTAATAATCAATATACAAAACAATAAGTGTGTTAATTATGATATTCTGTGGTCCTTATTTCTGTTTCAGATTTATTCTTAAGCTGTTCATCAATCTTTTTGTTCCATATTTTGCCTTCTTCTTTCATTCTACTTTCTTCTACTCTCCATTTCAAAGCCTCTGTGTGCCCCTCATCCCTCCATGCCTGCCAGTGAGTTTTACTTCTGCGCAGATCTGATATCTGTTTTTCAGCCTCAGTTAACCTGCTTTCCAGCCAATTTCCCCACTCCTTAGCTGTGTTTGCAATATTTTCTGCCCAATCAGCCCAGTCCTCTGCAGATTTCAGATTCAAAGGACTCTCTGTATCTGGTACTTTGCGCCTCCTAGGAGGTGCTTCCACTCCTCTCACTTTCGCTGTGACCCCAGCAACTGTGCTTGAACTTAACTTTTGTACTTGTAATTTGCTTTCTGTTTTAGGCTTAACTTCAAAAGCAAACCCAGGGCTCTTCCTTGGAGGTAATACTTCATGGATTTGCTTTTCATCTAAGGTTTTTTGTTTGATCTCTTCTGGACTTTTGTCCTCAACATGTTTTTCCTCTAGTATTATCTCTTGTTCAATAAGACTTTTCTTATCATGCTTTGGTAGTTGTTCATCTACATTGGTTGCCTGTTCTTCAATTAATACTTTCTTGTCCTCTTTCTTTTCCACATCCTCCTCTCCTTTTGTCTCAACTGGTTCCTGACTTAACTTTCCGTCTTCTTCTTCTTCTTCTTCTTCTTCTTCTTCTAGTGTTTCTTTCAGTTCTTCAGGCTTCTCTATTTCATCTTTATTTTCTGGATCTTTATCTTCCTCCTTTTCCGGTTCATTTTCATCAATCCTTTCTGGTTCCTTTTCTTCTTTCTTTTCTGGTTCCGTTTCTTCTTTCTTTTCCGGATCCGTTTCTTCTTTCTTTTCTGGTTCCTTTTCTTCTTCCTTTTCAGGTTCCTTTTCTTCTTTCTTTTCCGGTTCCTTTTCCTCTTTCTTTTCCGGTTCCTTTTCCTCTTTCGTTTCTGGTTCCTTTTCCTCTTTCTTTTCCGGTTCATTTTCTTCTTTCTTTTCCGGTTCCTTTTCCTCTTTCTTTTCTGGTTCATTTTCTTCTTTCTTTTCCGGTTCCTTTTCTTCTTTCGTTTCCGGTTCCTTTTCTTCTTTCTTTTCCGGTTCCTTTTCTTCTTTCTTTTCCGGTTCTTTTTCTTCTTTCTTTTCTGGTTCCTTTTCTTCTTTCTTTTCCGGTTCCTTTCCTTCTTTCTTTTCTGGTTCTTTTTCTTCTTTCTTTTCCGGTTCATTTTCTTCTTTCTTTTCCGGTTCCTTTTCTTTTTTCTTTTCTGGTTCCTTTTCTTCTTTCTTATCTGGTTTCTTTTCCGGTTTCTTTTCCTCTTTCTTTTCCGGTTTCTTTTCCTCTCTCTTTTCCGGTTTCTTTTCCTCCTTCTTTTCTGGTTGCTTTTCCTCTTTTTTCTCTGGTTCCTTTTCCTTTTTCTTTTCTGGTTCTTTTTCTTCAATAGGTTCCTTTGTCTCTTCTTCTTCCTCAAGCTCGCTCTCATGTATGTCTTCTTCTGGAGTTTTTCTCTTCCACTCAGTTTTGTAAACATCATCTATCCATAATGCTAAACGGTCTGCAATATGTACAATTATTTTATGACTTTTTTTCTTGGGCCTTTCCACTTTGATTTTTTCCTTTGTTAGGTCACAAACACGGTCTACTATAACTTCTGTAATTTTTTTTATTCTTGGTGTCCTTCTTTTGGTCAGCATTGCTTCTAGGTACTTTTCTAATAGATTTGAAAACATTTCACAGTACTCTTTTGTCCATTTATATTTCACCATATTTTGCTTTGTTTTTTTCAATTGTGATGAAGGTTGTTTAATATTAAAAGTTTGTTGGACACTATCAATGAAGTCTTGAGCTTCTCTGCAACAAAATGACACAAAATAACAATAGAAAATAATTATTTGCCAACTACCAAGCTACAAATAATTGATCTGTCACTTTCAGTTAAGTGTTAGCTATGATCCACTTTTGAAAACGGACCCACTCACACACACAATGTTGTAAACAGTGATCAATATACATACATTTTTATTTAAGTGATATGAAGCAGAGTATACCCCTGCAACAGCAAATCTGCAAGCTCGAACAAGTTTTTAATTTTCTGATTAATAACATTTTACCAAGCCTTATACACACTGAGAAAAAAAAACCCATGAACTTACTTTTGTTAGGCTAACATTGAGACAGATATTCCTAATTATACATCATTTTAATGTGCAATGTGAAAACTATAAAATAATGATGTCCCACATTAAGTGTGGTATTAACTAAGATATCTAGAATAAAAAGATCCTTTATATTACAAGTGAGTTATCCTTTGTACGTCTGATAATACCTGATTGTGAGATGTTAGTAAAACTTACTCAAATGACATTCCAAATTCATTCACCAGGAAATTGATCAATATTCCTGTAGTTTCTGGAGTCACAATATCACAAAAGGTTTCTTTTTCTTCGCCACTAAAACAGAATATTTATTTTTAGACTTTATGGTGCTTACTGCTTAGATCTGTTAAAGCAATTCAAAATACAATAGACGTTTTCATAGCTAATCATATGTTAGTTGTGAGGGTGACTCGTTTGTAGGGACTCGCATGTAGCTTGACTCCATAAAAAGCATTGCCTCAGATCTACACAAGTCAGTCGCTGAACCCCAAGGCAGATTTGATCAGTCTTGGACCAGAGCAACCTGCAGGCGGATTTTGGTCTTGCGTATGTCTTGGTCACGTTGCGCCCGTGTGTACACACACCCTCCACAACACTGCATATGAATACAATGTTTCAGAACAACTGTGCATGACTAGAGGTCATCTAAGGTTATCGTTGTCGCGGGAGCAGACCGAAGTCGCCTGTAGGTGTACCAGGCTTAAAGACAGGGTAGTTCCGTTATGGTTGAAGTCCATAGGCAAGCTTACATTAGGGATGTTTGAAGTATGAGGATAGTGAAAAAGGCTGGTATAGACCCAGTGATGTTTTGATTGCGAGCTTCAATGCTATAACTATGCTACCGTGTTTGACATTCAAAGCGTCGTCTGACAATTGTTTTATTATTGTGGTTTTTCATTTTAGATACTTACTCTCCAGCCTGGGATTGTACAAAGTTATCTCGTTTTCGCTTTGCTCTCCTTTTCTTTAGTTTATTGATCGCTAACTCAGGGTTGTCGCGGTCCACTTCACCTGCCCATCGGTAGCTAAAAACCAGGATACTGAAAGTTAGCAGCTGCTCCATGTTAATTTTAATACTAACAATATCAATTTTATTTTAAAATTAATAAATAAACGGTAGGCCTATTAGCAATCCGACACATACTTTCTCCCATTAGCTTGTCAACAGCCTTATCATGGGTAGGTAGGAGTAACTATGATATTTTATCGGGCAAAACCACAAAAGCTGCAATAACTTTTAAACCGTAATTTTACAGCTGTAGGGGCTGTTCCATTTTATTTAGAGTTGAAAGGACTATAACATACTAAACCAGAATAAAAAATGGTCAAGGTGTCGGGAGAATTTCTTCTTTGTGAAAGATATTTCACTAAGACTAGCAATTTAAAAAGCTTTTTCAGAAAATTGTTATATTATTTTAAAAATATTGTAAAAAAATTTTACATAGTAATAAAATGTAATTTGTAAATCTTTTTGGGGAATAAACAATATTTTGATTTAATAGATTTTTTAAATCTGATTTTACCGTGTTTTTATGGAGAAATCAAATAAGCTGTAATTATTGTTAAACCGCGATTCTGACAGCAATGTATGAGGATTGTAGAGTTTTAGAGTTAAAAAGAGCTGTAAAATACTAAGTCTTAATCAAAATATTTCCGGTGTTTTTTATATCATTTAGTAGGAAAATCACCATTAAAAATATAAATTAAATAAAAACGCTTAGAGGTAGCATGGGTTAGCATAGGACCAACATCATTTAATCAAAATCGGAACACAGGGACCCAAATGTGATAAACCCACCCAAATGTTGACCTTCTCCGTATACTATGGATAGAGGGAGAAACTAAAAATCCGAATAGTCACTTTTACAATATAAAACCATCACATTATGCAAATAGTAGCCTAGCTGTATCCAACATATTTAGTTAAACCAGTTCAACACAAAACTACATTAGAAAAACAGGAGAAAGCTACACTTCAGGACATACCCTCTTGGTGTAGCCAGCATTTCCAAGTACTGTTGGTGAGTTAAAAACTCCCGTTCAATGGATTCTGGTTTAAAATGTTTGTGGACACACGGATCATAAGTATCAGTGACAAAAAGTTGAGCTGCAAGCTTTTTCTTTCTGATTTCTGCTTTCTTTTTCATTTTCTTTGTGATTTTTTTTACTTTTGCTTTTCCACGGGCTTTGTTTGTTTCCATCTCACTGCCAGGATTTTTACTATCCTTTGTCGTGTTCTTTTTGTTTTTTTCCAAGCGATCAGCTGTGTTTTTCATTGTTGTTTGCGGTTTAGTTTTCTTCTTGTCTTTTTTCAAACTTTCTTCATTAAGAACATTGGTTTTCTGAAAAAAATAATTTATTATGTATTGAAAACCTTTATAGGCATATGCAAAATGCATATATTTGAAATATCTATAGTATTTTACATGTAAAGTGCAATATACATTTCTGTCTATAATGTGTCAGCGTTAGCAAAAATGTTTGACCTAGCTTGTTTAGTTTCTTATGATAGCTTATGATCTTATGATATAGCATAGATAGACTAACCAACACAAGTAGACTTCTCATCCCATTGTAAATTTTGAAGCACGTTTTTCGTGTCTAGTTCATGTACGTGACACAAAGGCGATAGTGTCGATGAAACTTTGTTTCCATTATTTTAGGGTTAATTTCTTGATTTGTGCTTTACTGTTTGGTTATATAACTAGGGGACAAGTTATTGTTTATGATTAGATCGTATTATTTGGTTAAACGAGGTTTTAAATGGCTGTAATAACGGGAAACAAATTGTAAACAAAACACGACCTCTACATAAACCGTACATGAACTAACAATAAAATTGTCTTCAGCTGTTCCATAAGGATGAGAAATCTACTAAGGGAGTATGTTTTATCTATGGATATAGTTACACATTTGAAACAAAATTTAACACATTCAAAAAGGGGGGAAAACAACTTTTACCAGTTAAATACTGTGCAATTGCTTAAGGGGCTTACCTACACCTATTTATAATTTTTTTATATATAAAAATGTATAAATAAGTTTGTTTGAGGTAGGCTATATAGTAATTTAAAAGGTAGACTACTTACAGAAAAAAGGTATGCTACTTACAGAAAAAGTCACTGTCATGTTTTTGATATTTTGTTTAAATTTCTGTCCTTTTTAAGTCCTGAAAAAATTAGTAGTTTTTCATTATAAACGTTAAACGTTGCATGTTAGCACAGTTGTTGTCATTGTTTGTTTCAAGATTCAAAAATAGAAATATTTCCTTAATTTCCTAGGAAATTCTTATTATCGGATAATTTTCTACTATTAGTTCAAGGAAGTAATAATATGTAAGGTAAGAATTCAAAACTCAAAGAAGATTCAAACAATATCCAAACAACCTCTTAAAGTCCCAAACAAACAAATAGTTGAGTACAAAATGTTAACAGTATGTAAATTAGAAAATTTCTTTGGTTGGGCATGGACTATTTACAAACGTTTGATTACAAACAAATATTCTCAATTCCATTGGTAGTAAGGTTTTAAGATTACTTGCAGATGTTTGGGTTTTGGTTTTTTGCCGCTCTACCAACAAATAGTTTCCCTTTCATAAAAAAATCAAAATTAATAATAATACAGAGGGGCAGGTATGAATAGAATACTTTTTAGGATATTGTAAATTAAGGGGTAAGTTAGATACTTAACTCTTAATTATAGAGGTAAAGATTACCAACACTAATACAGTGAAAAGCAGATTATAAGCAAGTACAAATCTAAAGGAAATGAACAAACATTTACATTTGGAACAAAAAGTAAAAAGTACTGTACACACTTGACAATAAGAACTGTCTGTACATTATACAGTAGGGGGTCAATAATTTTCTGTTGGACCTAAACATTAAATGAAGAGAAATAAAATGTATATTCACTGTCAAACTGTTAGATACCTTTGAAAAATTAAGAGAAAGGGCTGCACTTTACTTGACGTCCTACACTCATTCGAATGAAAATATCGATCGATATATCGATTAATCGATTGCTTCATTCGATATATTGTTTGGTTAGTTAGGTAAGGTTAACCTAACCTAACTAACCAAACGATATATCGAATGAAACAATCGAATGAAAATATTAAATCGAAAAAAACAATCGAAAGAATGTAGGACGTCAAGTAAAGTGCAGCCAGAGAAAGTTAATACATCAATAGTTTTTAACGTTTAACTGTAAATCCACAAGGTAAAATGATCAAATGTAACCTCCATTTCCTACAAAACCTTTCATTCATTCACCTTAATTTATTCAAGAAGAAAATACATTCTTTAACGGATTGTAACCAAAATATAGAAAACAGAGTACTTACCACTCAAATCCAGTTATTTTATAAATCAGAGTATAGTGTACGAGTTTGATAAATGAAACTAAAATTTGTGATGTGCTTGAAACCAAAATTGTTTTGTTGTCAAATAATGTTTTCAATTTTAAATAGAGTCAACTCTATCAGGTGGTATTATTTATTATCATGTGGAGGTTATTATACAGTTTGCAGTAATTAGGAATTTTTTCCTATACATTAGGTAACGTATATAAATCTTTGCCCCCTAAACATACTCCGTTAAACTTCCATCTTCCATCCAACCATGACCTAAGGTGACTAAGGTTAAGCATCCTCAAATCAAAAGCGACTCAATTAATTTGCATACTGCTAAAATTTTCTCAATCCAAAAAAATCACCAAAAATATCCCAACAAATCCTAGAAAAAATTGTGTACCTCCAAGAAATAAACAAAACACACTCTAAGCACAAAATTCCCCGATTTCTCACCAGACCTTTTTAAGGAGCTTAAAAATAAAAATAATTTAGTACATCAAAGTGTTTTTGTACAATTATTAGTTACGGAGGTTTGCTGCGGCGGGGGTATTTTATTTTATAAGGGTAATCTTTCCAAATTCCCACATGTTTTCCCATTAAAAACAATGTTCATATTCTTACTACATTTAAACACTATATGTTAATGAAATTAAAATTTCCATGGCCCGTAGGTAACAAAGCAAGCTTTAAGTCAAGAAGATTTGTTTTGTAGGCAAAGGCTAAATAGGCACAACATACGTTGTTACTCTGGCCTTATAATGTATGGGGATTGTAAGTCTGTGTCATCCTTTTATCTCTGGATAAAAGCAGAGTTCATTACTCAATTATGTTACAAAATTCAAATCCTACAAATGAAAAAATTGCTCACACAAAAAAATTGTTTATTTCATCTACAACGTTATCATACAACATGTTTTTCATTATTAGAACAGTACACAACAGACAAGTCACAACTTGTATACACAAGGTTAATATACGTATTCTCAATCCAAAATTGCTGTCTTCACTAACCTCTATGTCCGACTTGTTTGCTGGTCAAGTTTTCTATCCCACCTTTTACCTTCATCCTTGATTCTCTCTTCCTCAACTCTCCACTTTAAGGCTTCAGTTCGTGTTTGATCGAGCCACGCTTTCCAATCTGAATGTTTGCGTTTATCAACTAGTTGTTTTTCACCTTCAGTAAGCCTGCTGTCCAGCCATTTTCCCCACTCCTCACCAACACTAGCGATGCTGTTTGCCCAATCCACCCATTCTTCTGTTGATTTCAAATTGAGTGGACTTCCTGATTCTGGGACTCTGCGAGGAGGAGGGACGTCAACTCCTCTAGCCTCAGCGGTTTGCTTCACTACTGTGCCAGAGCTTAATTTTTGAATATGCAACGTGCTTCCAGTCTTTAGCGTAGCTTCAAATGCAGGCAAAGCAGGTTTATGAACTGTTGAGATGGGCGACTTTGTAGGTTCGGGAATTGGAAGTGATTTTTCTGATTGTTTTTCAGAAAGTGATTTTCTTTCCGGCTCCTCCTGCGGAACATGTTTTTCTTCTGGAAGCTTTTCGTCACTCTTTTCTTTTGGAACCACTTTATCCTCAGATGCCTTCACGTCTTCCACTTCTTTAACTGATGTCTTGTCTTCAGCTTCTTCCTTTACTGGTTCTATTTCAGGTGGAACTGTTTCCTCTGCTACTGATTCAACCACTTCACTTTGTTCAGCCTCTTTAATTGCTGGTTTATCTTCTTGAGGTGTAACTACTTCTTCCGGGGGCATTTGTTCCTCAAAAACGGTTTCAGATTTTTCTACTTTACCTTCTTCCTCTTTGACTGGGATTTCTTCAGTAACTTCTTCTTTAGCTTGTTCCTCCTCTTTAGGCTGTTCTTTCTCTTCTGGAGGGTTTTCATTTTCTTGAGGCTTAGCCATTTCTTCACTTTTGTCTTCAGCTGGCTTATCTTCAACTGGATAATGTCCAGCTGGCTTATCTTCAGCTGGCTTATCTTCAATTGGCTTATCTTTAATTGGTTTATCTTCAACTGGCTTATCTTCAGCTGGCTTGTCTTCAGTTGGATTATCTTCAACTGGCTTATCTTCAGCTGGCTTATCTTCAACTGGCTTATCTCCAGCTGGCTTATCTTCAACTGGCTTATCTTCAGCTGGCTTATCTTCAACTGGCTTATTTTCAGCTGGCTTTTCTTCAGCTGGATTTTCTTCATCAGGGACTTTTCCAATAGTCTGATCCTCTTCTTGTGGTAGTTCTTCATCTTTAATCTTTGTATCTTCTTCTGCTACTGGTAGTTTGTCTTTTTCTGTTTTAGAATCCTCTTTAGTTTTAGATTCTCTGTATGTAGTTTTCTCATCTACAGACTCTTCAGCTTCATTTATTTCTGTTTCATCCTCTATTGACTCTTTCTCATCTTCCTTAGCCGATTCTTCCTCACTCTCCTTTTCTTCTTCAGGCATTTCTTTCTCATCATCATCTTCTTCTTCTTCACTCACTGAAGGCTTATCTTCCTTGGGTTTATCCAAGTCATTTACAATCTCCTCAAACCAAAAAGCCAAACGTGTAGCAATAAGAGTCAATGTCCTTTCACGCTTAGTTTTAGGATATTGCAACGATGTTGTGTCCCCAGTAACATTACAAATATCATTAAGTACCCGTTCGGCAATCCTTTTTATTCTTGTTGTTTTTTTAGTCATCAACAAACTGACAATGTATTGTTCAATCCTACTAGCAAACACATCTGAAAACTTTTTTACCCATTTATGTTTTGGACCGAGATTAGTTATTGCTTTAGATTGTTTTTTTACACATGGTGTTGGTTTTCCCACAGTGCTTTTGCAGTCGATAAAATCTTCAGCCTCACTGAAACATATTAAATATTTCAACTTTATTCAATATAATAATTACCAATTACACAGTATTTACTTTTACCACAGAAAAATAAAAAAAAGTCTATGTTTCATATTTCTCTGTCCTGTCCAACCATTTTCTGTCCAACCAAATTGTTTAAGGCTTTGTCATAATTGAAATTAGCTCGAAAAAAAAATTCAAGGTGTACAGTGCTATAATATTAATGAGATTAAAGTATAGATTACTTACTCAACAGTCATTCCAAATTCACTGACAAGAAGGTCTATCAATCTATCAGCAACTTCTGGTGACATGACGTTCCACATGTCGTTTATAAACTCTTCAGCAAAGCTGAAACTGAAAGATTTTTGTTATTTCTTGTGGACTAGGTAATAGTAATACAATGGCAAGTGTATTAAGGTGGTCATTACTTAGACTAAAAATTAGTTAAAACTTGCTTTAGCAACAACAACCTTGTTTTTTTTTTTTTGAACTTTTACCGCCATTTTTTAATGTAATCACTACACTAAAGGTGTTTGCGATTGTGGCCATACTCAGATAATTGTATATTTTTGGTTCTTAATTTTTTACCAATAAGAAAACAAATTGAACAAATATCTTAAATGTAACCTGCCAATTTACACCCACTAAACACAGCTGGAAGTTGAAATATTGTGAATCTTAACATTACAAAACATACTCAATACAGCGTAATTCTTGGCTTGGCACCTCTTCTTCACCTCTCTTGTATTTCTTTTTCTTTGACTTTTTACTGTGTTTTTCATTGTATTCCTGAACGGCTTCTAGCCACGGGTGTCTGTAAAAAGGTTTAAAAAATTAAGACAGTTCAAGATAGCAAAAAAAATTCAGTTAAGTAAGTATTTAGTAGGATTAACCACATAAAAATAAATATAATTCAAACATTTATCTAACTTACGCCTTTGGAGTAGACAGCATGTCCACATACTGTTCAGGAGTTAAGCACTCTCGCTGTACCAACTCAGTTCGGAAAAATCGGTGAAGACACGGCTGAAACCTCGGTGGTTCATAAACGTCTTGCTTCTGAAATATTGAAATACAGTGTTGGAATTGTAAAACTTTTGTAACTGTAAAACCAAACAAACTTTCAACCATGATTTTTTTTTAATTTCATCCAACATTGAAATTTAAAAATGGTAAATACTTTTTTACAACAGTTTATAACTAAATAGGAGTGCAGTGAAATGATACTTACTGGGGAATACATGCTTTGTTTTCTCATTGAACTGGTACCAATATTTCCTGAAAACACAATCATTTTTATGTTTCTTATAAATATGATTAAGATTTAAAAATCACAAAAATTTTGAAAAAAATTATTTATATAATTTTACAGTATGCCAGTATGTAATTTTATAATTTTACTAGTACGCTATGAGCATAGGCGGCTCTAGGCCCCAAAATCTGTGGAGGCTAACCCAGGAGTTGAGGGGACAAAATTTAGAAAAAAAATGTTCACGGAGAGGGGGGCATATGTCGGAAGCCTGCCCGGAGGTCTGCCCCAACGAGGACGGGGGCCAACGGTGCTCCCCTGAAAATATTTGAAAAATATAACCTCCCACAACTTATTTTAGGCTATTTCAAATTTAACATAAAAGGAATTATGGATCCCACTGGATTTCCTATTCACTGTAAGGATCTTGTAATGGGCTAGTTTGCATATTCCATGTAAGAATTTCACCCTTACATATTAAAAAAAATAGTTCAAATAAGGTAAAAGAAAGGAACAGACTGATTAAAACCCTAAATTTGTGCCTAGGATGAATTGCTGGTTTGTAGCTTATAACTCAGGTCTACTCACACTTTTACGTTATTATTTTTTTCAATACTTAGGTACCCTACCTATGTAATAGTATACCTATTTAGTTTCAATTCTTGAAGTCATGTTGTGTTGCTCAGTATCTTGGCCATTATTTTCTACACCCATTATTTTTAATTTTATACTTAATTTCTTTATACTAAATTCTTTATACTTTATTCCGCTACCAATATATTATACAAGACTAAGCCTCATGAGAGCTACAGTATTTTTTACAGTTGAATTGTCATAAGAAATCATTTGATGAATTAAGAACACAAGCCAATATTATGGATTATAACTTATTACACATACTATAATATTTTTTAAAAGACATTTTTCTTACTTGACTAAACAGAAAATGAATTTTATTGCTGGGTGCCCCCCTGCCTCTGACACTCTGAGACTATTAGTAATATTTCAAGAGTAAATGTAACTGATTATCACTCAATTGGATAAAGTTGATTTAACTAACCTGTTTACGATGTTTTTTAGGTGTAGAATTATGTTGCAGTTGAGACTAAATTGAGAAATATAACTAAAATTTGGAACCTCTGTCTTGAAATGTTAGTAATTGAGATTTACAAAAAGTTGTATTGTTGTGGAACTTGTTTATTCTATCAGCTGAATTAACATAGTAAAACTAGTCTATTCTCAACTTAAAAATAATATTTGAAAAAATTTACAAAAATATGGCTAAAATGTGTATATAACAAAAAAATATTAACTTTAAAGGATTTTACTCAGGTTACAAACATAGATAAACTTGTCTGTAACAAAACAACAACTAAGAAACACTGTTTGAACTTGAAAATGTTATTATCCTTAACACCAGATGGCAAGCCTTTTTTTTACTAAGGCCCACACCTTTAACTCCAGGCTTTCAAAGTTGTTGCAACACTGTCAGTATTACATTTTAATAATTAACATGATGTTTAACACACGATTACATGAGAGGGTGCCACCTGTTCGCCATGTTAGCTTATGGGACGTCTAGTGCTTAACACCACTATTTGCAACGTTGCCTCTACCAGGCCGTGGCCTGAATTTAAAGGTAACCGCACTTTTCACTCAAAATACAGGAACTATGTAACCTATGGCTATAAAATCTCGATTCACTTTCAACCAGTGTTTCCACGCTATTAAAACCATAACCCCGCTTGCTGGGCCAAGAAAATCTCGTTTTATCCCTCCTGAATTTCCCGTTCAATCCAAAGTCATAATTTTTAAATAGCTATATAACCCTGTCCTAAAAATGTAATCAATTGGGATAGTTTGGTTGGTTTTTATCTAAAAAGCAAAATAACTAAGAATATTAAGAAATCAGAGGTCAGGTATAGCCTGTTGTGATAGTGTGCATATCCAAAAAAATCCTGTATATGGAATAGTGGTGGGAATCACCGAATGAAAATAACCGAATCGATCGGTTATTGATGCTGAATAGACTAATTCGGTTATTTTATCCTGGTTCGGTTAAATTAGTCTTACCGTGCGATTCGGTGATTTAGTTGATTTAGTTTGTCACATTATCAGGGAACTAAAATTTATTCGGCGATTCGTTCGACTAAAAATTGCCGATTGACGCTAAAAGACTAAATGCCATTCAGTTTCCCATAGGATAAAAATTAGTTGTGGTTTGTGACAGTGAATAATGACTAAAATTGATTCGGTGATTTATTCAACTAAAAATAACCGATTGACGCAAAAAATGACTGATTGATTATTCGGTCATGGAAACCATTCGGTTATCCCATCACTAATATGGAAACACTGCTGCAAAACCTAAACCCAAGTTCTATCATTGACTTCGGATACTGCAGTAGATGGGATGTCTTGATGTCTACTTCAGTATCCTATTGTCATGGTAGTACACTTTAAAAAAATGGTCATACAACATCTTCATGAATGGGATATAATTATTTTTAAGACACAGTATAAGTTATACATTGTTTACAAGTATAGTATGCATAAAAGGAAAGTCAATAGTTCACAATATTTGTCTCTTTTTCTGGCCCAGGGGTTTTGCCACTGACAATTTTCTTGTTCCATAAGTAAGCTTCACCTTTTATCTTATGTTTTTCTGCGCGCCACTGTTGAGCTTCATGTTCTAAAGAATCTTTCCAGGTTTTCCATTCATTATGTTGTTCAATCTGAGCTTTATCCTGAAGCAAACGCTCCTCGACACTGTCTAAAGCTTTGTCTAACCACTTACCCCATTCTTCTCCAACATTCGCTGCCTCTAAGGCCCAGTCAGCCCAATCTTTCGTAGTTTCACTATTTATTGGAGACATTGAGCGGGGAAGTTTCTTTCTTCTAACGGGAAACTCAATACCCTTCACGTCAGCCACCTTTGCAGCAACTGTGGTTGAACTCACTTTGTTCACTTCATATTGACTGCCTTTACCTACTGTGATTTCAAACGCTGAACCTTGTTTCTTTATGAGTGATGGTACTAATGACAGTTTAGCTGAAATGTCCCCTGATGGTAAAATCTTTTCCAACCAGTTAGCAACAATAGAGGCGGTTTCTTCAATATCAAATCTTACAATGCTATCTATTGATTTGTCGAACTTTTCTATGGCTATTGCTTCAAATCTCTTTTCGATAATATTTTTTACTGCCATTTGCCGGTCAGTTTTACTTCCATCTTTTGATGTACGCTCAATGTCTTCTTTCAATAGTTCTAAGATATCTAAATGTGTCCTTGACGGTTCTTCTAATGTATCATCGACTTTTTCTGCGCTTTCTTTAGATTCCACAATGTTAGGTTCCACTCTGTGCTCCTCTATTTTTTCCTCTTCAACTGTATCTTTATCACCATCAAGTTCACTTTTCTCCCCTTCCTCCTCCTCATCTTCTTCTTCTGTCTCTTCTTCCTCTGCTTCTTCTTCCTCTGCTTCTTCTTCTTCTACAATTTCTTCTTCCTCTTCAACCATTTCCTCTTCTTCAATTGCTTCCTCTTCTTCAACTGCAGACGATTCTTCATCTTCTGTCTCTTCTTCATCCACTTCTTCCTCTTCTTGTACAGACACTTCACTTTCGTCTTCAGTTGTAACTTCTTCTGATTCCTCTTTGCTTTTTGACTCGCTTTCATCACTTTCTTCATCACTAGTGATGTCTTCACTTAAAATGTCTCCTTGTTCTTGAATTTTTACTCTTTTCTTTTCGTCATGAGTTAACAATCTTTCGATTTCTGACTCTGACATTTTATCCAGTTCATCCCTTTCTGAAAGGGTGGATGTCTCTGTAGACATTAAAGTATCCAATGACTGTCTCTCCCAATCCCCAAATGATTGAACAGGTCTATAGTGTTTTTCCATTTCTCTTTCCATATCAGTTATCGCTTCATCAAAATAAGTTGCCATGCGATCCGCCACAACAACTAAAGTTTTTTCTATTCTTGTCTTGGCAGAATTCACCGTAGTGTTTTCCCCTGTTAGATCACAAAGTCGCTCTAGAATTTTTTCTGTTATTTTCTTTGTCCGAGCTGTCCTCTTGGATAATAGAATTCCAACAAGGGCTGAAGCTATTGGATTAGCAATATCCCTTGAGAGCTCTTTAATCCATTGATTTCTCGGTCCTATCCTTACAAATTTTCTGTCCTTTTTCAAACAAATGCGCTGTTTTCGAATTGCTCTTTGACTTTGAATAAATTCATCTGCATCTCTGAAAAAAATATTACATAGAGGTTAATTACCGAAACCAAAGATATTAAGAGTAACACTAATTGCAAAGTTATAAGACTCCATTCAAATGTGTTGACTTTTTCCTCGAATAAAAAAAATTATAAAAACTTCTACAGGATTAAAGTTTTTCTGTAGAAGATTTTAAAAAATTTGTTGTGTTTATGACCAAATCAACCAAGTCATTGATTAATGATAAAATTGAGGACAAGTGGAGCAGTGGACCTTTGTCCAATATTTTTTTTACATTCTAAATGTGAAAATTATTATGATGTATTGTTTTGCTTCTTTTAGATTTTACTACAAGTTTTAATTCATTTCATAATGTATCTTTATAAGGTCCATAATTTGTGACTGATTGGTGTTCTGGTAGGCCTACCTGTATTTATAGAATTTGAAACAATTTTCAATCTTTAATTCGTAATTTTTAATCATTGATGTGTACAAAGGAAAGTACTAAAATAAAATATTAAACTATTTTTTACTTCTTTAGTCTACAAACTACTTTGTTTGATGACATAAAAACTACCGTATCTTTTTACAAAACCTACTTTTTTGACAAACCCATATCTTCTGTTAAAACACAACGAAGACGTTCAAGCATTTCTGGAGTCATAACTTCCCAAACATCTTCAATAAAGTCAGCGACGACACTGAAACAACAAGTAATTTATAACAGGATTGGAGACTGTAGAGTAATATACAAAAGTAAACAACTTTCTAAAACCTTGATTTATTTTGCCACACATTTGGCAGCCAAAAGCATTTGCTTCGACATTGGTTTGTGTATTGCTATATTTTACTATATTAAAAAATTCAAACTGATTTATGATGATTTAATTGAACAAAATCCTTTTTTATGATTGATCAGGAAAATATTTAAGTATTACTTTGAGGTAGCATTCATAAAGTACTTTCAAAACTGAAAAACAAATGCAAATCAGCTCAAAATGTTGTGCTTTTTATATTGTAAGTAATTGAGCTTACATAATCAAAAGCGTATGGACTCTCTTGGAAAACAATTGAGTGAAAATTTAAAAACGTACGTTTTCATGTCCCTGGCCTTTTAATTCGTAGATACTGGATTTGTAGTTTATTATTATGTGTTTTAATATTTTTTTGGACGGGGGCAACATGTTACACACATTTATTTGGTTTTAAATAGGTTCTAGGTATTTTTTTCGTATTTTTAAAGTCTCGAAATTCACGACCATGACGTGTCCCTAGGGTACATTTTCCAACTTCCACGCTGTTTTTAGAATAATTATTCATGCCGAAATATATAAAGCCATATTTTTATGTCATCAATGGTTATTAAACTAACAAAAAAGGAGCATATTATAATTTTATTGTCATTGCAAACTGACTACCACGACAAAATAAGTCTGTCCCTCGATTTGGCGTCACGACCATTTGGGAAAAATTTTCAACTTTGGAGCACGACAGTGGCAAGCCTGGCGTCGATGGAGTCAGTTGGTTTTAGAGACTAGTTCGGGGTGTACGTCAGGATTGTAGTGCCGGTCGTTTCGAGTTGAAAGGAGGAATTACAAGATTAATAAAGAAAAGATTGTGTTTTTTGTAATTTTGGTGTGTCCATGACCGTACGTAGTCATTCGATGAAGTAGACATGGTGTTAATTTTTGTTTATAAGATGTTTCAATTGCTAGATTAACCTAGAAGTCCACTTTGTATCCTTGAACATGAGGTGCAGGGCTACCGCCAGAACAGAGCCAAATAACTTGTAATTTCACGACCAAAGTTTCACGACCATCGCGGGTTTTTTCACGACCAATCCATTCTTATGGATTATAGTGTGTTTGGTCGTGACAATAACTTTAATATAATTGTAAATTAAAAAGTTTAGTTCAATTGAAACACATATTTTTATTATAACTAACAGTATAATTGAAGGATTGTTTAGAAAGATTTAGA